CGGCTGGAGAAAAGATGAGCACAGCCAACACGGATCCGTGTGATCCCGCCCACAACTCGCTCGCAAACCGTGGCGCCTTGGGGAAGTCCAGTTGAGTTCTTTGGTTTCAAAATTACTGTGTACATCCTGATTTGTGTCTTTCCGGACGCAGTCACCCATAGTGCAATGGGGAATTTTTATATAGATATAGTATTATATGCATAAAAGATGTGCATCAACAAGCCGAGCCGGGCATGCATGACATTCACCGTCATTGACGTCGGGATAACGCGGGGCACACCCCGGATCCACCGCACTGGTTCTTCCCTGTATTGTACACTAACTAAATGAGCACTAGTGCTGTGTGTCATTCACGTGAGACACCCGCCCCCTCTTATGGTTACGCTTTTGGAGGATATTGAACAACTAAACAAGAGAATGGACGGCATGAGGTCTCTTGTATCCGATGTAGCCCCTCCTCATTCTTAGATCACTGATTAACAATATTAAGCCCGGTAGCAGTCGGTCAAGGCGGGGCTACCTCATTTTCGGTGATTTTCCATCGAATGAGGCCGTCTGGGAGCGTCAATCTCGCTTTACATCCCCACCGTAAACTAGTGTGAAAGTAATGCAGTTTGTCACTTATGGACCCTGGAATTCAGATGAACTCCATGAACCTCCATGACCCCAGTCTCGAGCCGTGGTACCCACGTTTTTCCCCCGCCTTGTCTGGGCAAACCACCAGGGAGAAGTTTACGGAGACCCAGTGTGTTGCATGGAGCGCGCGAGATATTCTCGCTTATTCCCCATCCCCTTTTACACTACATAGTAGATGTCACGTCCATATGTGGCGGTCAGAATTTTGAGACGAGTTCTTCTCTTGCTCGGCATCCTTGTGTGTTGTTTGGATTTTGTGGTTGTTCTTGGACGGAAAAGACGGACCAACTCTTGGTAGCAATTCACAGATTCCAACATCCACAGCCGTGCGAGAAGGGGAAAACCTCACACAGGGCCGTCCCCACGGGGTTGATATTGAAGTACTAGCGATCTTCTTCAGTCAGTTTGATCGCTAATCAAAGCCATCCATCCCACATTCCTTACACCGCGTCGTGCAACCCAATTGCAGGTGGCCAGAGTAGGCTCTTCGTCTCCTGATAGTCTACCCGGATACGTGCGACTCGCACGTCGAAAGAAGTCTTTCTGTAATGAATATTGGTGTAAATTTTGAAGAAGAACTAACCATACGAGGTCTATATCCCTGTTGTTCATCGTCTTTGTGTTGAGCGTGCGTTTCAACTGTCGAAACGTCGATGGCGAATACTATGAAAGCAAGGGGGTTGTGTAGGATCAAAAAGTTGTGATTCACATCCTTTCTCAGTTCCCCAAAAGGGCAAGCCGTCAGCTTCGTATGGCGCGAAATGGGCGTCAAAGTGATGGTGGTCACGCTGACCTCGACACCATCCATCGATACGAAGTTGCGCTGACTCTGAGCGAACGATGCAACAAAAGACAGGTCCTCTCACTGTCAATACAAGCCGCATTTCATTATATCCGAGCTAGGGATTCTCTCACCGTCTCCGCTGGAGCACATTTCTACCCGATGTTGTTAGGGACCGGCATTTGACAATTCATGAATTTTCTCTTGTGTTGTCCTGCACGGTCTGCCGTGGGGTTACCTGTAAAGCGTGTAGCATCATTGTATTGTGAAAATTTCATGATAGAGATGCCTATCCACAAGCTCGGGAGAACGGACAAACGGGACGATGTCCCAAGGCCACGGGGAAGGCGCGGGGTGCTACGAAGCCCGGGTTGGTGAACACTAACCCCGCCGCTCTTGTTCAGCGGCAGAAGATCGCTTGGCTCGTTGGGTTGCCCGTCGATTACTGGCAGTGGTGTCCCACCCACCCAAGGGTAAAAAAATCCCGCCAGTCTCACTAGCCCTGTGTAGGTAGCAAGCTAGAGTAGCTAGAGTACCCTAGCAGCCTAGCCAAACTGCACCCCTATCGTCAGCACCAGACCTATCAATTCTTTTTTTAAGATTTTGTGAGAACCAATGAACACGGAAGTTCGGACGGGGACCTTCATGCCCGACAGTCCGGAAGCCCGGCCGTCTGATGGAGTTCCCTTTGTGCAATGAAGCACTCCGCACAGTAACAATGGTGGGCTAAACACCGGGACCCTGGAAAGTCTCCTCTATCACAGTAAAGCAAACCACGGGAGGTAAAAACTTGAGCGTTAAGTAGTTGTATAGCGCCTTTCCGTAAAAGCTGTTCGGTGAGTGAAAAGTCCATTATCGCTGGCGCTTGGCATCACTATATCTAGGTACCCAATGCAGATGTAAAATATTCCCAGTGTGCTCGCGAGGCTGCATGGAGCTGAACCACATCCTGCGACATATATTTGAACGGAGGGCTTGACCACAGCTGTAGGGATTCGCAAATCGGCATATTGTGCCCAAAGAGGCATGTCTGGCGAGTAACGTGTGCGATTGCAGGCTGGGTGAGGTCGCCTTTTGTCTCTCATCTACCAGCTTGGCGGTAACCTTTGTCGTACGAAGCCGCCGTCGTCACCTGGGATATTATTAGCCATTATGTCAGAACATCGCTTGTTCGCCCCTCGGTACCTACCTTTGGTGCGCCTGCCCAGCTACGGTGCAGGTAGCGTAGCACTTCCCAAGGAGATGGTACGTTCACTTTCACTAGCTTTTTTCCTGCCAAGGTGGTTGCGCAATCTGTGTTAAATCTTGATGTGTGCCGATGGTTCGGGAAACTTATTTTCGATGTTGGCGTTGGCTTTGCCGTCAGCCTAGTCACTGACGCGATACCTACCTACTGATGAAGCATGGGCAGTTCTCACAGCTGAGGACTGAAAATTGACTCCTCTGCTGCTCAAGCCATCCGGATACAGAGTCATTCAGCCGCCGTCCTGTCTCGGAAGGCGCCAACTGTCTGCCTATATCGCAAAGTGTTCTTGGTATGTTTAGGCGATGTATGTAGTTCACAAGGGTCGCCGGTAGTCATCCTGAGATGTCGAGGGGCGAGGAAAAGGCCAATGGAAGCGAGATTTGAGAAAAAGGAATGGTGCCCCCAGATGCAGGTCCTGCAAGCCACAAGATGATGCAAGCCTTTTCAGCCAGCACGTTACACAAGCAAAAGCTTAAAGGCGATCCAGACCAAAGCAAAGACTACCATCGTCATCCATCATTCCTGGAGTCAGACAGTCTGCCAACAATTGAGTTTGAGGATATGGAATGATGACAGTTTCTTTTTGTCTTGCCATGGCCGAAAAGAGGGGCCGGGGTCCTCATGGTTTACCGGTAGTAGCCGCAAATAACACAATGCCATATTCACAGGGGGGGGAAGGGACAGTTCCTTGAACGATGTGGCAAGGAAGGGGTAAATAATTCAAAGTACATACAATGCATAGGTAGGTAGGTACCTCTCTCTATGTCTACCCTCAGTGACCGTTCAGAGAGCTATTGATGAAGCGCAACGAATCGTCCTGTCAAGTCGAATATGAGACCGACCGGGAGACGAGCAAAGGTTGTTGATCCCGAAAGGAGTTTAGGTGCCTCGTGCCTGAAGCAAGAGAGGGGATTGGCATTCGTTGCCGTGACCTTGACAAGTGAAATATCATTTTCCACTTCTGCCGCGGAGCCTTCTGTGTAATCAATCTTGTATAATCCTGCGACGTACCAGGCCACAGTGGTGACCCAGCTAGCCCATTGTCCAACCTCTCTCCTTTCGTGAAGCGGAAGCAAAAGGGGGATGGAACAAGAGAAAAAGGGAGAACAAGAGGTATGGATGCGCGTGACCAGCGAATGTAAGTACCGGCAGATTTGCATAGACCGTTAAGTGTGAGTAATGAAATTACTCTGTTCATACTAGCTCGGATGAATTGGCGTAATATACCTCTAAAGGTAATGAAAGTGAAAGTTTGATGCCTGTTCCGCGCCCATAGAAGAGACTCACGCCTGCAGTGTACAGCTTGTCCCTTTGTACACAGTACCTACCTCTAGGGGTCGGACGATGCGGAGCTTCCACTTTGCTCTGCCCCTGGATTGGCCTGATCTCCACTGTAGTCTCCAGGGCTTGGAGTCCCGTCTTTCACTTGCGCGGCGCTGTGTGCTCTCTGTCGGGCAGTGAGCACCTTGCTGCATGTGTGCTTTTAGTTCACCCCGCCGTCAACCGCTGCCCACTGCCGCCGTCAATCCCAACATCAGTCCACTGCATCGGGCACTGCCTGCGTCTGGGCTAAACCGGAAAGACCAGAGAAAACCACCAAAGGCATCCACCACCGCGATACGTACCTAGGTAGCTTGGACCTCCGGTCTCTCTGGATGTTGATTTGGCTGGCGTTTCGACTTTGGCTGATTACACTACCTATACATGTCCATACTAGTTTCTTTTCTTTGACCGCCCAGGCTTGATCTCTGGTTACATAGGCACAATCATTATTCCCTTGGGCCTTTCCAACTGAACCACTTGCAACTGAACCGACAAGACATCAACGCTCGCTGAAGTGACCTTTTTTTTTATTTTGTCTCCGTCGCCCTGAGGTTCTTCTCGACCCTGTCGCTCGCTACAGCCTTCATTTCGTGTGTCAGTGTGTACGTACATTCGAGGCAAGCTCAAAGGCTCTCCAAAGGCTCACAATCTTTCAAAGGCTACAGCCCACGACGCGTATCCCCCAGGCTGGGAAACACCTGTTCGTATTATTGCCCAAAAGATCGCCAAATCGCCTCTCCACCATCCACGAGTCCCCGTCCACCCACGCCATCACCAAATACTTAGTACGATCATCCTCACGCGGTCACGGCCCCCTGTCGACTGTCTGCGCGTGCTCAGCTCCCTGGGCTCCTGGGTCTGCCCATCCATTGCGAATTAGCACTTCTCCGGCCGTCCCCACTTAACTGTCTGTAACGGGGTCCTGTCCGTTCAACACCCACCGGCGCCCTCCCAGTCCTTGCGACTTCGATCCGCTACGGCGCCTTTTTGGTTTTGGAGAAGGGAAGTCGACTACTACAACAGCGCATAAACTCCATCCCTACATATCACAGCTTAAGCCTGACGGCTGTAAGATTCAAGTACGGCATATGCTTGCGACTGCAGCAAGTGGAAGGTGACAGCAAGTTCAACAAGGACGGAAGCATAGAAAACAAGTCTGACGGGCTGCAGCTGTCTGCAGGCATTGCAACTACATACGTACGATTTGACAGTTGGTTGCTGTATCAGACGACCCTGATAACCCCCGCCGCCTGTCATGGCGGCTGTCACTGTTTCGCCGGCTGCGTCGCCGACCTCGACAACCACCAGCCCGCGTAGGAAACCTGTTCCTACGACAGGGTTGCCCGCCATTGCCTCCATCGACCGCTTCGAATGGAATGACAATGCGCCTTCTCTTCCCGGCGTCTCTCTGGCCGAATCGCCTCGGATCCGTGAGTCGCCTATTACGCCCGTGAAGGTTAACTTCCAATCCGACGGCTGGGCTCAACCGTCCAACGCCAATATCGAAACAGACCGGTCGTGCGACGGCTTACAGCCGATCTCGGGCGTCCTCGATCGTGCCCTCCCCGCGACCCCAAATGCTCCGACTCCTCCGCCCCATGCCCTATTAAACGAAGAGCCGAGGCAAGAGACGTCTAGCCATTCGGAGGCTCGGAGCGCACAGTCAGCACGAAAGGAGTCTGTGAAGCCATTGCCGGGGCTAGAACTGCCCAGTGTGGCCAGGTTGAAGCTGGAAGCCTCTGGCCAAGACGATCTCTCATCCGATTCTTCGCGAGTGAGCCATGGAAGAGTTGCCAGTCGTCGAAGTCGAGAGTCGGATACCACTGTTAGTACGTCTAAGCAACCTAACTCGAACGATTCATCAACGGCAACCAGCGCAAGTTCGGTGTCTGGCGTCATTGAAGCTTCCGATTGTCCAGACAACTCTGGCGATATCTCTCTTGAGAGCTCCATCCTCGAAGATGACTCTGCTCGGGCGGAACAGGTGCCCCAGCTCGCCTACCATCATTCTGCTTTCCTGCCGCGGCCGGCTAGCATAGCTGTAGACCAGGACCTAAGAGCTCGGTCAAACTCTAGCCTTGTTGATACCAGTGGTGCCATCAACCGTCACTTAACGCCCAACTCTTTCAACAGACGAAGTTCAGTGCCACGTCCGCAGTCTGCATATTCGGTGTACTCGGACTTTGGGTCTCGGGGACAATCCCCTGGTCTACAAAACCGAACACCATCCGCAAATTCTCGAAATTCACCTGATAATCGACCACAGTCTTTTGCCGAGCTTTTGAACGTTCCATATCCCCAACCGGCACCTGCACCCCTCACACTCGATAACTCACAGTTACGTAGTGTAGTTGGCACTAATGCTTCTCTTCTCAGCGCCCAGAAAACGTTGGAGATGTACAGGCAGAATGTCAAGAAAACCACGGACTTCTCTACTCAGTATTCCTTCGCCGTTTTTCTGATCAATACAGCAAAGGAGCAGGGCCTGAACTTTAACGAACTCAGGAATTCTAAGAATCTCAAACCTGGGCGATCTTCAGAAACTCTATCCGCAGAAGCCAACCAATCTTCGCCATACGAACTAGTGCGGGAAGCGCGGGCCATCCTACAGAAATTGTCCAACAACGGCTTCCCTTTTGCACAGTATTATCTCGCTGACGGCTATGCCTCGGGTTTGTTCAACAAGGGGAAGGAGGACTACAACTCGGCGTTCCCTCTGTTCGTGTTAGCTGCCAAGCATGGCCACGCAGAGTCCGGTTATCGCACTGCTTTATGCTACGAGTTTGGCTGGGGCTGTCGCAAGGACCCTGCCAAGGCTGTGCAGTTCTTGCGAACAGCAGCCTCCAAGCGGCACCCTGGCGCCATGACAAGGCTAGGAAAGGCCTGTCTGTCGGGTGATTTGGGCGAGAAGAGATATAGGGAGGGTGTCAAGTGGCTGAAGCTGGCCACCGAATCTGCTGATGCGATTTATAATGCCGCTCCATATCAGCTTGGATGCCTGTACGAGACAGGCTATGGTGACGACATCTTCAAGGACGAGAGTTATGCGGCTGAGTTGTTCACCCAAGCCGCCGATCTGGGCCATCCCGAAGCCAATTACAGGATGGGCGATGCCTACGAGCACGGGAAGCTCAACTGCCCAAGAGACCCTGCTCTTAGCGTCCACTTCTACACGGGCGCCGCGGAGCGTGGCCATCCTGCTGCCATGATGGGACTCTGCGCTTGGTACCTGGTTGGAGCAGATCCCATCCTAGAAAAGGACGAAGAGGAGGCATATGAATGGGCCAAGAGGTCCGCAGAGCTTGGTAAGTAAACTCCAACCACTCTGGACATGATGTCGCTGGAAGAATAAATCTAATCCGGACTTGACAGGGTATGTAAAAGCACAATATGCTGTTGGCTACTTCACGGAAATGGGCATAGGATGCCGAAGGGATATTTTGGAAGCCAACCTCTGGTACGTCAAGGCGGCCGAGGCAGGCGATGAGCGCGCCAAGCAGCGGTTGGCAGTTATCCGCGCGGCCGTCAGCGGAGGAACTCCTATGGAGGTCGCTCCGGCTCGAAATGCTAAGATCAAGAAGAGTGCGGAAAAGGATGATAAGGAGTGCATCGTCATGTAAGAGACGGGACCTTTCATATCACCAGCAGACCAACAAACACCAGACAGAATTCGATGCCTTGCTCACGCTGTTTCGGCGAAGCCGACACGAGTCAGCCAGCCAGTTCGTGATCGAGCGGGTTTATTTTTCCTTTTTGGATACCCTTAGTCGTCGTCTCTTTTTCGACCTTGCATACCCGCGCGTGGACCTTACCACTCGTACAAAGAGTTGTTTTGCTCCTGCTTCAGGGGTTGTCTAATAGACAATGTCTCTACTGGCTATCATCTCGATCCATGAGTTCAGCTACGTGTCTGGCATCCGACTGCGCCATCGAGTTCAAAATCCCTGAAATCATTGCTTTCTCCCTCATTTTGCGACGGCGATAGGCAGCTCATAGTGTTTCGGAGATGCAACCCTGATGAAGGAGTTGTTGTGAGTTGTTGAGGAACTTGATTGTTTCTTCCCTCTCTCTATCTATAAAGGGTTGACTCTGGCACTCTGGCCGTCACTGCCGAAGATTGGCTTTTACAAAACCTGTTCAGTCTTAACAGCCCGGGCGCTGAAACTCGGTGTTGTACATTCGTTTTTGATGCATTTGCATGGCCGTCGTTCGAGGAAAGAGAAGTCATGGTCGGAGATACGACACCTTCTCTCAACTTTGTCATCCACGGCAATTCAAACCTCGGCGTTTCCACAATGGTGTGGTGTGGGTACTCTTCATTTTCTGTTGCACTCGGCTGCGGGGTTGTTTGGATTTTGTTCATTCGTTTCGCACTCTCGGCGGGAATGGAAGTGGTTCTTGTCTGTCTGTCTGTCTGTCTGTCAGACACAGACCATGGGAACTATTCAGAGAGAAAAAAGTGACAGAGGGAAGGCGGTGAAAAGGGTCGGTTGGGCCAAGAAAATGGAAAAGGGATTGGGAGTCAAAACGTACAGTACGTCGTCTCTTTGTACATACTGGGACGAGGATACATGGAGGGAGGGAGGAGATAGGTGAAAAGCAAGATGGGATTGAGCAGAAGTAGTCCAGCTTGGGAGCATGGGGAGCAGAGGACGAATGAGAAGTAGAATAATAATATTTCCTGGCTAGTATCAATTTGAACTGTTCATGGTCAGAGCAGGTTAAACGCCTGTAACCTTTATATTGTACTGGTAACCTTCTGCTTGCTTCCAGGCTCCTCGACATGTTTGACGATGTACGGTTTTGTGTGAGCAAGGATTGATGAACAATACAATCAGCCCGTTTCAGTGACAGTCCGTTGTAGTATAAGCATCACTTAATCTGCCGGAAGAACGTCTCACAGACCTCCTTTATGATACCACGAGGCCAGGGTGGGAAAGAGGATGTGAGAAGTGACACCCAAAGGAAAGATTAATTGAAGAGCCAAGAGATATATACAGCATCAACAAAAACAAATGAAGGTTAAAACAAGACTAATAAGCCCATAAGCCAATCCCCCCATTAAGAAGAAAAAAATAAGAAACCGACGCATATTGTACATGTGGAAAATCCAACTCTATCGCTTGGCTTGACCATTCAATGTCCTTTCCATCTGGCGGAAAGGGGGTACACGTTCATGGAGTTACGCCTTTTGTGAAAAGACGCATTCATCCCAAACGAGTGCGAGCCTGCCGACTCTTTTCTCCTGTCAATTTTTCATACTACTCAAGACATCACTTATTCAAGCCGAGACAAGTAAGTGGCCCAAGGACGTGCGTCATATCCTATTCCGTCCTTTTATGACTGCGAAAAAAAAATCCAAACGCATTTGATTATATGACCAAGCAAAACCCATCCATTTTATATATCCCTCATTTTAGCAGTAGCGTACGCCGCCACCAACGAGCTGATGGCTCCAATGAACATGCACACAGCAATCGCGTTCGGTCCGTCCGTCTTGGCATGCTCACTTGGATGGGCATCCGTCGCCAGCTCCGGGCTCTTGCCCGGCTCCAGGATGGCGAAGACGATGCTGCTCATAAATGTCGCGATGAACTGCGGGATGGTGGTGTAGATGTTAAGAATGCCAAAGTAGATGCCGCTTAGCTCGCCGGTTGAGCTGTTTCCTGCGGTGACCTCCTCAACAGCGCCGGCGGCAGGCTCGTCGACGAAGCGCATCTCGATACTGCTGGTAGAAAGTCTCCTGTAGGATGGGTTGGTGGCGGAGGTGGCCCCTGGAGACATAGGGTCGGGAGCGCCGCTGAGCTTGTTGACCTCGACTCCCAGGAACGTGGTGGGCGCCCACATGGCGATGCTCCAGGGGATGCCGCATAGGGCGACCAGGACAGTGGCGAAGCGGAAAGAGGCGGCGAAGGGAGTCAGAAACATGGCGAAGGCGAACATGAGGTGGCTGGCGATCCAGGCGCTGAGCAGGTCGGGCTTGTACTTGTTGACCGTCTCGACGAGGTTGGCGATGCTGGCGGGCGGGCGGTGGGTGAAGGTGTTGTCCTCGGGCGCGCGGATGAAGGGTGGCAATATCCAGGCGCTGATGAAGGTCACGGTCGAGTAGACGGTCAGGGCAGTGCTGCCGATCCGGCCCATGTCGCCCAGGGCGTCGCTCGAGTCTCGGGTGTCGGCGGGCACATCGTACCGGAAGTAGGTTTCGCCTACCCAGGTGCTGCTGTAGATGATGAATGGGAACCAGCCGATCCAAGACCAAAAGACCGCATAGCAGATGGCGCGGATGCGAGGAGGTAAAGTGATGAGGGTCGACACGATTTGGCGCACAACCTTGAAACGACCCGATTGGCGGCGAGGATCGGGCCGGACAGTGACGAGAACCCGCTCGGTCACTGCCCAGCAGGTTACGGAAGAGGTAACGAGCATCCCCAGGGCGGCGATGACGGTAAGCTGCTTGAATTGTGTGTCTCCCAAAGACGTTCCAAAGAGCTGGAGAAGGTCGATCGCCCCCATACCATAGCCGATAATATGTCCAAGTGAGCCCATACGGCTTGCTAAAATTAAGTTAGGATAACACAACGTCTATGATATGATCTGGAAAACGTACCCCATGCTGCGCCACTTTGTTGTTTTTGAATAGGCAGAGTGTCTACAACCAAGCTTCTAGCGCAAGACATTACTTTGAGGAGGGAACAGGTTAGTACATTCGATACTGGAACCCAAGAGCATTACAATAAGCCTTACCGGCATTGATGGCAAAGTCAACACAATAGAGCGAAAGGACAGCAACAGCGATGGTGCACGCTCTTGCATAGGTCGGATCCCAAATAAAGTAGGCCACTATCTCCTTAGTAAAGCCCAAGGCCATGAGAGCGAGTGCTGTGATGATGGATCCAATAACGATGACAGGTCGCCTTCTGCCCCATCGTGACTTTGATTGATCAGCGATGACGCCTATGATGGGTTGTACGATCAAGCCAGATAATGGTCCGGCAACCCAGACGAGCGATGTTTGGCCCTTGGTAAGTCCCAGCGAGAGAAGGTAGGGCGTACAGTCTGGGAGAAGTGCCTGGTAAGCGAACGTCTCCGAATTCCGGGATAACAATCATGATACCCAAAACTTACAAGTCATTTCAACACCCCATGTGAAGCTGTGATTAGTGAGACGTCAGTAACCGTACAGCCTCCTAGTTTTCTTTGTTTTTCACATGTACTAACGTGATGCCAACCGAGACACATGTCAGCAAGAGCATGCGCATGGTCTCCGTACTCCCCTTCACCGACGGGCTCCCCCTCCAAGTTGACATTTCGACGTTCTCTCCTTCAGAGTAACTGCCACTGTTGTCTTCCTGTTCACCGGAAGCCGCCCACTGATTGGGACTCAAGCCCTCCTCCTCCTTGCAATGACGGTCCAATGGCTTTTCCCTTTGGTACGACGGGCTGCCCTGCTCTACTGGAAATTCGCAATCGGGAAGCGGTGATTGTGTGGTGGAATATTTCTGCCGTGGTTCTAAAGGCGCACAGGTGTTATCGGGAGTCCTGCCGTCTGTAGGAGGTATCGAATCAGTCATTGCGCCGTTGCGATATAGGACATGATGGGCGCGCATCGCGTCCATCTCAATTCGCCCGGGAGGGTATGTGTAGTTGCTGTTGCTGCTGCTCCCCGATACCGTACGTATGCCGTTCGTCGTGTCCATGGAGTACGGCTTCTGGATCTTTGCAGTGACCAAAGGAGCTCTGGTGATTTCGCTTACCTAGCCGATGCGCAATACACTAAGCGGGCTGCTTGTCCTCAACCGAAAGGGATGGAATGCGTAATGTGAGGAAGGGCCGGACTACAATATACGGTTGCGCCTGCTGTCGTGGATCGTGCCGCATGCGGTTCAGCCGATGTATACGCTTTCTGTCTGAGTCGGGAATGATGGTTGGTGCTGTTTCGGGAGCACAAGCGATAGCTGGGGGGGGGGTTGCTCTACAACTATGCGGTACGGTAGTAGATGGAGATAAGGGCGACTGAACGAGAGACTTGAAGGAATAAAAAGCAGAACAAACGTGGTGGGAAGCGAACGAAGAAAGCGAGTGAGGTGGTCAGAAACGACGGATGTTTAGGCGTTTGTCAAGATGGAAATGTATGCGATTCGAAAAAAAAACAAAGTGTCTTGGTTGTCTTATCAGGGGGATGGTGTAAATGATGGAACACTGCCGCCCAGCCCTGCGAGCCCCCCCTACGCCTTTACAAGTATGTCGAATCAGTTACAGTAAGTATCTTTACGTACGGGATTCGTATAGAGGAACAGCCCAGAGTTGCCCAGTGTTGGGCCGTTAGGAGTGATCCCCGGTGAATGAAACTTGGGGGTCGTTGGGTGCACACTAGAGATGTGAAAGGGGTGACGTATCCTCAGTGTCGGGACTTTGACAGGGGTCTTTGGCGACGGATGGCTCCCTTCGCGTTGCTACCTACCTCTACGCAGGAGAAAATCACCGCGTACATAAAGTTACATGGTGGAATGAGAGTATGTGACGTTTCTTCCTAGGTAGTCAATGTATACGTAGGTAACTACCTATCTATCTGCTCCTGTTGTACACTTGGACCCTGAAGGACCCCAAATCCGGTGTATTGGGATACACGGTAACTTTCATCCAGTGCCTGAGCCAGGGACATTTATCATCTGCACTGTACCTTGCAGATCTCACTGGAGAGCGCTCCGACACGTGCTTCAGGGTGCGGTTGAGGCAGATCACCGTTCGAATCGACATGGACTTGTTTTGAAGGGATGGGAAAGGGATATCTTCAAAGCCAAATGGAAACCCAATTCGAGGTTATGACGACAATGGTACAGCGGTGCACTAGTGTACTTGGCCGATTAGCTACACTAAAATCCGGCTTGGGCCGGTGGCCGTCACTCCGACAGGCCGATGCCCGACTTGTGCGGGTCGGGGAGCCCCGCCGCCTGCAGAGCGGTTTTGCTGGGAGCCCCCACTGTCCACCACCTGGTCGATCACCAACGCGGGACGGAACCGGCGAGGGGCACCCAGTCACACAGACAAATCTCCAGTCACCAACTTTTAGCTCCGATTCAGGAACGTGGGCCTTTGGCCGCCTTTGGTGGGCTCCATTGTCCTGGATGCGCCAGATCAGGAAAATTCCGACTTCCACAGAGAAGCGGCCCCAGAAAGCCGGCATTCGATTCCAGCAAACCTGCCCGTCCAGGACAATCCCCATCTGTGCTGCCGACGTTCATTTATTTCAATTCGATCCATATTACATACCCAGCTACAATCGTCTGAAGTGTCTCCCGTGGTATGTCATCCACCCCCGCCAGCCCCTCTTGTACTTGTATGCTGTCTTGGTACTTTCTTTTACGGGGATCTCTTTTTCTCAAGTCCTGCCAGTATCCAAGAACTCTCTCTCGCTTGTTTCCAATTCGCAGACGAGACTAACTGGTGATCCCCATCAACTTTTTTTAGTCCACGTATACTCGACCGACGCCGATTTCTCTGCGCGAATCTCATATACCCATTCTTTCATCCGTCCTCTACTCTACATAGCCCTTCATGGATTTGGTAAACCAGTTAGTCATGTCCTCTCGGCCACCGTTGCCTGAAATCGATCCGACTCCCCGCCGCCGTCGATGCCGCATCTACAATGGCCAATAAAAAGGCATTCAAGCTGACGTCTTCCAAAGTCTCGAAGGCAGACTTCTCTTTGCCGTGCCCAAGAGTGAGTCACGACATGCTATACCGAGCGTCTGGTCAATACATATCTAACGCGGTAACTTCCTGCAGAGGGCCGCCTGTTGCAAGCCTGCTTGAACCTCCTTGAGGGCGCCGACATCCAGTTTAGACGCGAGAACCGCCTCGACATTGCGCTTGTCAAGAACCTTCCTATCGCCCTCGTCTTCCTTCCCGCCGCCGATATCCCCACCTTCGTCGGCGAGGGCCGTGTCGACCTCGGCATTACTGGCTATGACCAAGTTCAGGAGCACGATGCCGGCGTCCGCACCGTTGCCCGCGCCCGCCGTCAGAGCGGCGAGTGGAGCGCCCAGGATGGCGAGAAGGCCAAGCCTCAGGGTTGCGATACCGTCATGGAGCTGGGCTTCGGCGCCTGCAAGCTCCAGGTCCAGGTTCCCGTTAAGGGCGAGTACGCTACTGGCAAGGACTTGATCGGCAAGAACATCGGCACCAGCTTTGTTCACCTTGCACAAGAATACTTTGCCCGTCTCGAGCTGGAGCAGGAGGGTCTTGTGGATGCGGACGCCTCCCAGCTCGCCGGCCGTAAGCTCAAGACTCAGATCATTGAGCTCAGCGGCAGTGTCGAGGCTGCCTGCGCTCTCGGCGTCGCCGACGGTATCGTCGATCTTGTTGGTGAGTAATCCAGCCAATACCCCCGCCCCCGGCTCTCCCCACCTCTGGCGCAGTAACTAACATATTTCGCCCCGACAGAGTCCGGAGAGACCATGAAGGCCGCCGGCCTCATGGCCATCGACACCGTCGTTGACTCCTCCGCCATCCTCATCAAGTCCAAGGCCCCCAGCAACCCGGAGATGGTCGATCTGATTGCGGCACGTATTGGCGGCGTTATCACCGCCCAAAAATACGTGCTCTGCCAGTACAACGTTGAGCGCACCCGTCTGGCCGACGCCACTCAAATCACTCCCGGCAAGCGCGCCCCCACCATCACCTCGCTCGAGACCGAGGGCTGGGTTGCCGTCAGCGCCATGGTAGAGAAGAAGCGCATCGCCACTGTTATGGACGACCTGACCACCGTTGGTGCCACCGACATTATTGTGCTCGATATTCACAACACCCGTGGCAGCAGGGCATGAGTGATTAAATAGGAGAAACATAGGACATAAGAGGCAAAAATAAAATAAAAATGGAGACAAAAGCATTTATGTGAGCCTAGCTTGGAAATTAGAGCGAATCTGGGGATTGAAATGAGGGTTAACAAGGTATCGATGTGTGGTGATCTGGGTTCAAGATATCTGGCATCCTTGAAGTGGTGAAAATGCGGAAGAAGAGGCTTATGCTGACCTGACTGTTTCGGTGACCTTTATTCGAAGACGAGAAACGGCGTTAACGGGGGTATTCTGAACCAACTTGCTTTACTCGTCGTATTCGCGTGTCAAAAGCATGACGTATTATGGGAAAACAAATAGTCAACAATTGGTCCATTGAACGAAGTCTTCGAACAGTTTGGAGGTAAACAATTCAACCTGCTCCTCACATTTAACTTCCAGGTTGCTTTCTTGCCCCTAAATTCCTCCCTAACAGTCGACAACCAAGACGGTCTATGAACACACAAAACGACGACCATAGTGCCGAAAAGGAACAGAAAGGCCCAGGGGGAAAAAAAAAATGTACAGGTGAATGAACGGACATCAAGCATATGTACAAATATAACTGAACCGTTTGTGCCTTCCGTATCTGGTAAGAAGGACGGACATGACATGAGCCATCTAGTAAATCGGCCTCCCTTCAGTCCACTTCCTGAAACCAAACCTACTACCGCCGGCCCTCGCAGGCGGATGAGTAGGAGTCTCATACTTCTGCTGATCCTCCTCCCCCTTCACCACCTGCTGTTGCTGCTGCTGCTCCTCCTCCACCTCAGCCTCAGTCTTGACATCCGGGCCCCAAGAAACTCTGTAACTATTGTTGGACTTCAAACGCCTCCTAGCCTCGCCGCCCGTGATCCCAGGCCTGCTGGGGCCGATCCACTCCCACGCGCGGGCGATCTCACCGCTGCTGCTCTCGCGCTGGCCCGTGCGCACGTTGCTGTTCTGCTCCACGACAGCCGCAACCTTCTTCCACACACGCTCGCGCTCGGCGAGGCGGTGCACGGACCGGAGCACGTCGTCGCGCAGGTTGGGCAAGAACAAAAAGGCGTCATCATCACCTTCCGACTCAAAGGCGATCTCCTTCTGGAGAGCCAGGCGGTCGAGAACCTGGTCGACCAGACCGGGGATCTGGCGGGCGACGGCGCGGTGCGTGCGGTAGGCGTTGCGGCCGTAGATGAGGGAGAGAAGGGATAGGATCACTCCACCAATGCTGAGTCGATGTCGAGCCAGTCCAAGCTTGACGGATCGGCGGAGCGCGCAGGTGTACGGAAGGCGAGCGAGAGAGCTGGACGATAGCTTGGTGGTTGGAAAGCCAGAGGTATCTCTTTTTCTAAAGGTTCGGAAGCAACCGGTCTGGTTAGTCCAGGCGTGGTCAGAAAAGAGCTTATGTTGTCATGATAACACTGTTCAAGTATTTCTTGGGAACTTACTCGTAGTAGGAGTCCGTTACGTGGACTTCAACCTCATCCCGAGCCTTGACTTCTCCCAAGGCCGCGGCCCAAAGTTCCTCAAACTCCTCGGCTGCCATCCGCTTGCTCCGCTTCTTGCTCAGAGACTCCTTAAGCTCTTGCTCGTCGATCGCAGGGCTCTCCAGAGGCTTACCCTGGGGCTCCAAGGGCTCGCCACACTCGTACTTGGCTCTACGGTCCCGCAGCTCCTCAACGGCCTTGTTGGCAACCGCTTGAACCTTGCGCGCCTTCTCGCCGTCGGGCTCGCAAGTAGGCGGCAGAGGAATGAGACCTCCGAGAGCGAGCGGGTGAGGCTTGAGAACGAAGCCAGGCTCGCAGCGGGCAATGAAAGCTTCGTAGCAGTAGGCATGCGGAGGGCACGGTTCGCAGTCGGGTTCGAGGAACGGTCCAGCCCATTCAGGGACCTCGAAATCGTGGAGGCCAATCTTGTCGGTTACTTCTGTCGCCCAGTCAGGCAATTTGATACTTCGTCCGACAAGCTGGCGCGATTCGCGCCCAAGACCACAGTACCCGACCGCGATCTTCTCTTGTCGGTACCAGCCCGCGTAAGCGACTAAGAGAGTGGTGAGGAGGACCCACAATGGAGTGGTCAAAGGACTTCTTTCCCTACGGCTAACTTGCTTGTTTCGTTGCACAGCCAGAGCAGGATTGTCTATCTCCTCTTGCATTAAAGCCAACTGCTCATCTGGAGTAAACTCTTCTCCCGCTTCGACATATGATGAGTCCGCGATATACGAGGAGTCCGCAACATTGGACATCATGGACATTTCAGAGTATTCGGGTGACCTCGGGGTCTTGGGCATCGAGTGCTTGCCAAAAGGCAATTGGTATGTCCTGACCGTAGACGTCGAGCTGGGCTCGTAACTCCTGATCGATGATGTCGTGTCGGGCGTCTCTAGCTCCTCGTATTGCGGGCCATCTGTTCGTCTTCGCGAAGCGACAGTAGAAGGGGTTCTGGTGTAAGCAGAATCCAACGCGCTCGTTTTGCGACGATGGCTCGGAGTCTTCATGGCCGAAGGAGGTGCCGCAGGACTTCCGGCCTGGAAGGGGTTGTCATTCGTGAATACGCTCGCAGTCGCGGTGGTTCGCTTGAAGAAATCGTCGTCGGATTCGTTCTTAACAGCCGGCGTCGTACGCAAGTTCCTACCGAGCGTAGATGGTGTTTCTTGATAGGACGTTTCTTGGAAAGACGTCTCTGCCTCGTGGCCTGTATCATCTGTGTCGGAAACACTCGGCGCATGAGATACGTGTGATGCTGCAGAGCGGGATACCCTTTGGCTTGTGTTCCCACGAGCAGCTGCCGGCGTCACAGGAGCGTGGCTTTCCTGGACATCCTCCTCCAGTTTCACCCTCGATACCTTGCGCGGCGATCGCGAGCGACGGGTGCTTCGAGAAGGAGGCGGCAGCTCCTGGTCGAAGTCGGTGCTCGCCGAGCTCTGCGTGTCAGCATCGACAATACCTTTGCTAGACCTCTTAGCAGTGCGGCTCGCTAGATACTTCTTGGACAGAGGCACCACATGCTCGTTGAACAAGTCGACGAGCTGGCCCTTCTTTGCCGTGCTGGGATATGACACCTGGTGGGTGACGAGGATAGAGCGCAGGCGCGGGACGGTCAGCGACCGAGGGTCGAAGCCCGGCTGGAGATAATCAACGTTCTCGACGTCCGACATGGCGACGAAATTGGAATCGATCAAACAGCTTCGAGAGGGTGACGGAACGTGTGCGGGCGATTCTTGTCACTCCCGGCTTGGTAGGCAACAAAAGATTGCTGATGACGAAGGTCTACCGAACGCTGATCGGAGCTGGAAGCTTATCGAGCGTGTCGTCGAATCGTCGCGCTTTTGTTCGACAGCACGGGCAAGCAAATGATTTGCTTGCCGTTGGTGGTTTGGCCTTACAATGAATGCGATGACCAGAGCAAGTAGCTTCCTGTCATTCGTTGATAAGTTTTAGTACAAGTGGAACAGCTGGCTATAATAGATATTGATGAAGGAAAAGCGAGGAAGGAATCGATGTTGGTTTATCGCCAAGTTGGTCAGACACACACGCAGGCAGGGCAGCTGTTGGAAAACAAAAAGTGTAGTGACGGAAGTGGAGTTTCTGGTTGTCGGTGGCAACCACAGACGCTAGCAAAACACGACCCTGCCTGTGATCACCCGAAGTCCCTTGGAACAAGTTGTTTGGAACGTTCATTTGATTGTTCAAGCTAAGGTCGGGCACCGCCACATGTGGCGCAGCTTCGCTTATACCGTCTTGCAAGTCCTCTTTTGCCAGTGTGTTTTACATTAGTTTTACGCCAGTTCATGTTCAATGTTGCACAATTACCTCACTTCATGACAAAATGCACGTCGCAGCTCACAAATAACAAGAAGACTAGGACCTAGTTCACGACTGTACACACATCGTGGCTTTCTTCATTGCTGACGTTGGTCCATTGTCATTCATCACACTAGGCATATAAGAAATAAGTTGATGGCGATGTCGATGACATAGATCGCAAGCGACCATGTCGATATGGGAACCTGCTGACATCGCCACGTTTTATAGATCAATGGCCTCCGCTATGTTGCCGGTCCTATGTCCCGATTCTCCTCGTGAACCGCCCGAAACCCCGAAAACCGATCTCTGTGACCCTACCGAGCGAATAATGAATGGTGTGACCATGTAGATGTCCTCGTGAGGCCATGACGCCAACGAGACGGACGCCATTCATTCCTGGTCGTCATCACTATCCATCACCACAGTTCGCTTCCTCGCTCTGGCATGGGACGCCGCACCACCAGAAGGTTTCTCTCGAATTTGATCTTCGCCGCCGCCCCCTTTCGAGGTGTCACCAACTTTGGCATGTCCCGGGCTCCCCGTTCGCATCCCCGTACCTGTGCCTTCCCTCTTTCTCTTAACAGACAGAAATTCGATATCGGGTAAGTCGTCGTCTCCGTCCGTGGTGTCCTGGGTTGCGGGTAATTCTACCGGCACATAAAACGGCTTGGGCTTCTCGCGTCTCGCTGTTGATGGCAACGAGCCTTGAGCTGCCGACGCGGTTACCGGTACAAATTTGGATCCAAACATATCGCCATCATCTTCATCCGACGCGAAGGAATCTGATACTTGCTGCTTGCGTCCCGTTTTCGAGGGCAAGGAAGACGACCCCGCGCCAGGAGCTGTTGTCGGCGAGGTGGACTCGCGGGGACGATGCTGTAAACTCGAGGTGACTTCACCATCGCTGACGATAAAGTCCTCGAGGTCGGCACCGTCATCAGAGCCATCGGTCCCCATTTCCATGTCGCTGGTGCGGGTGCAGTCGTCACCGTAGTCCACATTGGGGTCTCCTTGTTTAGGTTGAGATTTTTTTTTCCGCCCGCTGCCACGTCCACGACCCTTACTGCGAAAGTTTCGGGGCCTACTTACTTCGTCATCGTCGACATTGTCATCATCTTCGTTGCCACCCTCTTCGCAGTCGCTGATAAGTGCGGTATGTCGTGCTCGGGGCTTGTTAGTCTGTTTGGAGACCCCGGTAGATTTGGCTTTTGCTGTCGCTTGACGTTTCTTAGGTGCGGCAAATTGCTCTGCTTCCTCTGCTTCCTGCCCACTCTCGAGGCGCGGCCTCTTCTTTTGCCCCTTTCGCGTTTCTCCTTCTGTTTCGTTCGCAAAGGGTGGCAATGGTATCAATTCCCAGGAGGACGTGTCTGTTTCACCGTATGGCTTAGTATACCTATTCGCAGGAGCTTGAGACTTTGCCAGTTTCCTAAACAGTTTCACACATCGCTTGGTATATTCCCCGTGTTTGACATGGACGATTTTCTGAACCACTCGTCTGGATGTTGGATGGCGATACCAGTCTATATCCAACTCTTCAACCTTCGATTGTCCGAGGGGTATCTTTGTATAGTTTCTGCGGAGCTCGTTTTCCTGCGACGTGCTCAGCAAAACGCTTTCGATTTTGGGCCGTTCGGCAATAAAGTCAGTTTCCTTAGGCGCAGGTGGCCTAGCGGGTGGTTTGGCTGTCTTAGCTCCAGCTTGACCAAGGAAAGAAGCCTTGATGAACCCTGTTTCAACACCGTCAGGCATGTTGAACTTCTTCTTTGCCGGCTTTGCCCTCATTCTTGCGGCAGATCTTTTTGGTTCTGGGAGCTCTGGGTTTTGGGAGTTCTCAAGTGGAATCTCCACAACCTTCTTTTCCACCTCAGGTCGTATGTCTCGTGGCACAATACGTGAAGAAAGGTCGTGACGAAAGGTAAAGCGGCTCCCCTCGCATATCATTCTCTGCATGGTCGCGTAGTTGTCCTTCGCCTCGTTGAATTTGTCTTCCTCTTTCCCTTTCATCAACAAAAGTACAATGTTACCCGCTCTCTTGCGACCGGTACGACCCATACGCTGAAGCATTCGGATCGGTGACGCTGATGCATCGTAGCAGACAATGAGATCCACTTGGCCAATATCAAGACCCTCCTCGCCAATGGATGTTGCGACCAGAACGTTGTGAGCGCCGTTCTTGAACTTCTCGATCGTCTCAATTTGTTGTTTCTGTTTCATGCCCTCGCTTCTCTTCGAGTCCGCTTGTCCAACGAAGACTGTGGCCTTGATAAGGGGTTGCTTGTTGAGAATGCGTACAATCTCTTCGGCACTGTCTCGGTATTCACTGAAGACAATGGCTCTGGTATTGGAGCCCTCGCCAGCATCCATGAAGTGGTTGACCAGGGTCTCACAAAGATATTCCAGCTTGGGGTGTCCGAGGAACCCATCAATCTTCATCCAACCCTCTATCATATCCATCATGTTCTGAAAGTTCTCATCCTCCAGGACTTGCCGCTTGAGCTTTGACCCCTTTCCTCCTTTCTCCTCCTCGGTGGTGCGGAATTCGGCCAGATTATTGTAGAACGGTTTGATTCCATGGAAGTTGAGTAGTTTGATGGAATGCGCCAAACTCTGGAGAATCGCGAATGTGGCTATGACACTGAATTTGGTTCCTTGGTTTACGTGCCTACCCGGACCTGCCATCCAGTCATTCCTGGCTTTCATCAGGCCGTAGGTAGTCAGGCTCATAGGGTCCCTGCCGTAGTATATATTTTGTGAACTCAGCTTGGTCACAAGGGGCTTCAGGGCCTTGGAGAACAAGTCTCTGACTTCCATCATTTCGTCAGAGGGGTCAAATGTTATCGTGTTGATGTCTCTTGAGTGCACATATTGACGAATGTCAATCGACTCTTCGGTTCTGATCTCGACGTGAGAAATGCCCAAATTATCAATGACGTCCTGAACACCTTCGAGAGACGATCCTGGTGTAGCAGTCAGAGCAAGAATCCGAAAGCTCTTGGAGAAACGCCTTAAAAATTCGACCACCTTGACGTATGCATAGTCTCCAGTCGCACGATGCGCCTCGTCAATAACCAGCAGTACAATCGACTTGGGATCGGCATAGCCCTTGGAAAGGTCATTCATTAGTGTTTGGGGTGTCATGAAGAACAGGCGCTTTGTCGCCCATTCGTCCTCACGTAGAACAGGAGGAGTCTCTCCGGTTAGGAGAGTCGCCTGAGATCGCGGGATGCCAGCTATGCTGAGACATGCTTGAACTTGTTGTGAAGCCAGGGGTTTCGTAGGAGCAACAAAGACAGCCTTTGCGGTTTTTGTCCAGCGGATGTAGTTGAGCATGATTGTCGCAGCAATAAATGTCTTTCCCAAGCCCGTGGGGAGGGCGACCAATGTATTGTTGAAGAGGCCATTTTTGACAATGCTGAACTGGTAGTCTCGAATAGGTCCCAGATTCATCGGATAAACCCATGTTTTCATTTCTTCTATGTCAATCTCATGGTGAGTGGGCTGCTCTGGGGGCATATCGGCACGGAATGGTCGATTCGACACCGCTTGCGGGGCGGGTTGCGCATCCTCCTCCAGCGTGCCACCCCATAGTGTCGTCTGACGCAGATTCTTACGCTGGCTAGACTGAGCTAGGGACAGGCGAGACGTTGTCGCTGACGTGGTCGGCTTGCTTGCTGTTTTGGCACGCCCTGTAGCTGTAGCCTGACCCTGCGATACGGTTGGAGTAACGATTCGTCTTGCAGAATCGGATATTGGCCACGCTTGTGCTGGTGGTTTTGCCGACGAAGCAAGCTGCTTGCTGTTGCTGGGGTGATGTGATGTGATGTTGCTGGTGGCCTGGGTAAAGGCCAACATCAAATCCTCGTCAGGAATATCGTCAAAGTCATCGTCATCCATGACTTGAGAGATGTGAGGTTGTAGAAAAGAAAGAACCTTGACGATTCGAGATTCGATGCGCCGTTGCTTGGACCGTTAATCCGACAGGTTTTTTTTCTTTCTTTTTTTCCTTTTTCTTTGACTTCCTGTTCTGGCGATGAGGCTTGTTGGATGAAGTTCTTAGAAGTGAAACAATTGACATTCACAAGCAGTCCGTTTGCATCGATGGACCGACCCTATCGTCACACAAGGAAGCCTGCTATGAGACGCGTCGCTGTTTTAATGGACGGGCTATTCCCTTGACACGTTCAATCGCCATAACACGTGAATTGGTGTGGGCAGTCTGGATGCTGTCGCCTGGGGAGTTCGCAGCAGAACAGCGTCAGAGTGGGGCTGTTGCATCTTGGGTGGGGCAGGTTTGCGTCAAAATCCGATCGCTTGTCTCTATGGTCCGCTGGAGCCTGGCGCACTGGTCGGAGCTTGGCTCATTGCGTTGAGTTGCATGCTCCTCCACTGCCGCCGCTAAGGTATTTCCTTCTTGGAGGTCCGGCGGGCTGAACCTTCTTTCTTCCATTCCCCAATCCGTCATCGAAACCTTCCCTCATTTCTCGACCTTCTCGCGTCGTCACAGGTGGCATCGGCAGCCCAACCTCCTCAGTACTGACCGGCTGATGACTCTTGCACATCCTCGTACTCGCCCGTTGCTTCAGAGCTAGCAGCTTCCGTACGCATATTAAACAAACGATCACGAGCGAAGCGGCGGCCTTCTACTTCTACTCCCGTACCTTTGGACCTCCGCGTCGTCTTTGTCGCCCCACCTCCAACTGAAGCATCTTTTACATCTTTCTTTACCTCGACAAATCCCTTTGCAGAAGCGCACCTAGACTCTTAGCGAAGTGTCCTTTGACACCTATCTGGGCCACTCTCAAATACAGCGTCTGAAATCCACCCAGCGGTGATCAATCCCCGGTCGGCATCGGCCGCCTGTTTTTTAAGCAGGCTGCTCTCCCGCCTAACGGCGACACCAAAGGTAAGCCCCGGCTCTGCATCTTAGTACCCTTCACCAGTTACCCCGACCACGACCGGAACTTTAACCATCAGGGCAGCGAAGAAGTCGGCGAACAAGTACAACTCGCAACTCCACGACTCCCTGTCCTTTCATCAACAACTCGGCGAGGAAAAATCACCCGCAACTCCCAACCATCGTTTTCTCTTCAGAATTCAACGAACAACCATGGCACCTCCTACTGGTCCTCGCGCCGGAACTGGAAGGGCTCCTCCTCGTGGACCCCGAGCAACAGGCGGCGGTGGCGGAATCCAGAAGCGTCGCGCAAACCCGAGGACGGACCGAGATGGAGATGTGTCAATGGATGCTCCGGCTGGTGGCTCTGGCAGGGGTGGGTTGGCTTCCGGCGGTCGAGGACGTGGCTCCAAAGATGCTCGAGGTGGAAGAGGTGCGGTGAACTCCCGGACAGCATCCCGGGTCGTGCAGAACCTACAGAACTACGTCAGCGGAGGTCCCGTCGGCAAAACACAGTCCAATATGGCCACACTGAAGATTCACGGTATGAGCAATAGCAAAGCTACCGGTAATCGCGACGGAGGGCTTCGGTCCCTTCTCACCTTTCTGGAACGGAAGGCTTCCAAAGACAAAGCAGTTACAATCGGCAAGGTATACTTTCCCATCCACCGACATCCCCAAGCGCGCAATATTCTGCAACTGCGATAAACGACACCTTCTAACCCATCGATAGAGTATTATGGACGGTGATTATGTTTGGATCACGGTCAGAAAAGATGATGCCCCGGAGATCTTGAGGCTCAATGGATTCACCTATGCCGGTGCACCCCTGACGATTACGGAAACCACCGAGAGGATGCCTCGCCCCGAAGACAAGATTTCCAAGGCTGCTGAGGAGACCAAACAAAAATTGACAGCAGTGCTAGCTGCGCGCTACAATCCAGAGTTGAAGCTGCTTGACTTATCTTCTCTTGGAACCGATCCCATCCTCAGCAGCATGGGCACCTTTGATTCCAAGGATCGGGCCGAAAAGGCCTTCAAGGTCTTGGTAGTTATTGCTAGTCAGCAGTACAAGACCGCTGCCGAAAAGCGTGAAGGGATACAGGCCATTTCCCTTGCCAGCAACGGCCTTAACGACGTCATGCAGGTTTTCACGCTTGCTACGTCACTTCCAGATATCAAGAGACTTGACCTGAGCAGCAACAACCTCGACAGTTTGTCCAAGATCTCCAAGTGGCAGCACCGCTTCCAGTACCTCGAAGAGCTTCATCTCACGGGCAACCCCATCACCACCCAGCCCGACTTCGTGGCAGAACTCATTAAATGGTTCCCATCGCTACAGAACATCAACGGACAAATTGTTCGCAGCCCACAAGAGGTTGCTGAGGCCCTCAAGGGCATGCACCCCACGCCACTACCGCAGTTCCCCTCCAACCTACGGGACGGAGAGGCCAATGTGGCGAGCATCTTTGTCCAAGTTTTCTTCCCCATGTTCGACACCGACAGAGCTCGCCTCGCCGCTGAGTTCTACGACGACGACTCGTGGTTTTCGATTCAAGCTATTGCCAATTCTGGTCGTAATCTTCCTTGGAAAACTTACCTCAAATACTCCCGGAACGTTCACAAATTGGGAGAGAAAAATCCAGCGACGGTACAACGTCTCTTCACTGGAGGAAATCTCATTGCGGACATGTGGAAGGCTCTCCCCAGTACTCGGCATCCAAGCATGGAGAACCCTGGTGCCTGGCTCATCGACTGCCACACCTTCCCCAACCTCGCGGACCCCACCGGCCATGGCTTCGCTACGGGATTGCTCATCACCGTCAATGGCCAGTTTGAAGAGTCCGATACTACCGAAAACCTCTACGGAAAGCGCACCTTCACGCGCACGTTCATTCTTGGACCCAGCAAGCCGAGCAACCCGCCGCCGGTGCACCCATACCGGGTTATTAGCGATCAACTCACCCTTCATGACTGGACACCCGCGGAGACACCTGCTGGTCAGGCCCCTGTCGCCAACCAGGTCCCGCAGGTTCCGGTTACCAACGCTGTGCCTCCAGCAGAACCTGTCATTTTGGATGACGCCACGAAGAACCAGCTGATTCAGGAGGTAATGAAGCGGACTGGCATGACAGCTGAATATTCAGAGTTATGTCTCAGTGGCACTGCCAACTGGAACTTTGAGATGGCACTCAAGTCATTCGAGGAGCAGAGGGCGAACTTGCCGCCCACGGCCTTTATCAACGCTGTCTAGGGGACAGCGCAGGTCACCAGCGTCAGCATGGTTTGTTAGTTCATGGTGGAATCAGCGCTAGTTGGGTAAATACCCTCTGCCTGGATGAGTTGGAGACAAAGGAAAAGGAAGATAAAAATTACTGAAGGCCAAGGAACGAAGACTGGGAAAGAGGAAAGGTTTTAAGGATCAACGATTAACTTTGTACAATACTTGCATTGCCATACTATCTCAAGGGGGCAACGGAATGGGTCGGCTAGCGGAATTCTTATAGGGCGGTCACTTGATTTGATATTGCGGAAACTTAGCGTGCGTTAACAATTGAGATACCTGGAGCTCTTTTGGGCTTTGGCCAAAGAGTTTCCCACATTCACTGTTTTTTGTTTTTCATCTAATTATAAGATTCTTTTATTATTTTTTTCCCCGCTGATCGGGTGAAGATGCTTACGGAAGATGCTCGAGCGTAATTGGGACACAACGTTTATGCTGCTTAGGCCCAGTAGCTTAACCACCGTGAAATTGTTAACCACGGTTGTGATAAGTGCGAAATCACACAGCTAATGAGATCTCGAAGCCGCGCGCCATTCTTGGCGATTGGGGTTTGGTGGTGAGCATCTGATTGTTGGTTTCCCCGGCATCATGCGACGTTTCTTGAATCGCTGCTCCACTGCGGCCACTGCCACCCCGGCAGTTGATCGGTACCTGCATCTGTCGATCTTTCATAGGGCGGCGTTGGGAGAAAATGCTGAGTGGTCCTGGTACGATGAGCAGTCATCATCACCTGTTTGGCCTCGTCCAATGGGCGGCGGTAAGAGTTTTATCGGATGAGGGGTAGTATGGGCGCTTACTTGTATTGATCTTGGTTGTTACGACTTACGATGGGGAAACAATCATGTTCGACACTTGAACCTGAGTGAGAGCCAGGAATAAAATTTCCGTTGAGGATTGGCTTTTTTGCGCTTTTCGCTTTTCGGCGATCGGTTAGGTGATCGGTTATCTATCATCAGTGGGAGTGATCGACACTTCATATGCTGGCTAAAGGTATGTGATCGATTAGATGAGAGACGACCAAGCGGATGTGAATACATAATCGCGGGAGTTGCGACTTGTCATCCTTCAATTGATACCTTGTGTTAAGTAAGTGTGAGATTGTTTTCTCCAGCCAGAACCCATCACTGCATGTCAATGGTCGGGGAAAGTTGAATTTCTATTGATCCTTTCCGTACGCCAGGACGCCATTCCTCGTCTCGCATTGCATTCTCGCCCACAATTGGCCACCATTCTCAGATTCCACAAAAACAGAGAGAAAACATGGAGTTGTTTACTTATCACATTCCCTTGGTAACTCAAAAATTTGCGCGCAAGCCTGTGGGAAGATGGCATTTCCGCGCTAACTGAGGAATTTGTGATGGCGCCCATCCATTCCCACTCCGTATTGCCCCAGGTGATGAATGTAAATAACTTGAATTTGTTATCGCACTTCTCGATGGAAGATTGGCTAGAAGCACTCGACTTGGCCATGATCTTACAACGTCGTACAAGTACCTCTAGTCAGGTACACTACATACCAGGAAGGGCAGACACATCACCCACTGCTACCTACACACTGTGCCGTCAAAATGCACAACACCTGCATGTGGAGAGTTCTACGTTGGGAAGGTCGATACCTCATTATAGTACTAGCACTGACTACGGTAGATTATGATTGCTGACGCAAACGTCATCTTCCGGATATCAAGTACATCTGACATTGTGTGTAAGGTTCCTTGACTCCCTACGGGTTTGCTCGGCTCAGTCTTGGTTGATTGCTTTGCCGACCTGCTTGCTTGGCTGGAGGCTGCTTGCTTGTGCTTGCTCGGCCTGCTGCCGAATGGTTCATTTAAGGGGGGGAGCCACTCTTGGTCTGTGCAAGATGATATGATGGGATGAACCGGTCATTGGTGGTGGTGTTCGTGTTCCATCTCCGAACTGCTCGAAGCACACGCAATGCCGCCAATGCAACAAATGAGAAGAGAAATGATGAAGAAAAGAAGCGACAGACGAAAGAGAAGGGACCCCACACTGAGCTCCACCGAGGGTATTCCCCGTTCTCCACCTGTCTGTCCTGCCAAGCGGGGGATGGTTGGAAGGTGGAGCATCCAGGTGGTGTTTCAAGTTCTAGCGAGGGGAGTCGCGGACAAGGGCACAAGGCAAAACGAACGATCAAAGAAAAAAGCGAGAGGAGCAACTGAAGGCTTGTCTACAGGGGCAGAAACCATGAAGCTCAGTTCGCATGAGGAGTTCGTCGGAGTGATTGCTTTTTTGCATTGGCTCCGGCTTTTCTTCAGTTCCTTGTTATTCTGGGCATGGGTATGGGCATCCAACCTCGCATCGACATGCATCATGCAGGTGGTTCCTGTCGTATTGGCTCGCTCGCCCAATTCTGGAAGTGGATGGATGCTACATCACGGCAACAACATGGTCAACATACATACATATTGACCCTTAAAAGTTTGTTAGCGTGGTTCCTGCCCCACATACTTTCACAGGGGGGGTTGCAAGGCGGGACACGTCTATTTACGAATTCTAATTGGTTAAATCTGCCTAATTTCAAAGTAAGAACGAGTAAATAGAGCACACACACACAAACCTTCTCTACTGGCTAAGGATCGCCTAAATCACCTAGAGCCCCCCTTACTACCTTCTATATTTTATTAGTTTTACTCCCTGCTACCCCCCTTGTTATCCCCCTGTTAAAATCCTATGTAAGTACCGAGCTAACGAACTTTCCAGGGGTGATGTGTATTTGGCGATCGGACCTCGGATCTGGTTGACAGGCAGCCTACCTATCGACGTGAATATTGGCAGAGTGTCCTGTTGATTTTCTTGTTGATTGTTTGTCATTGGTTCTGATGACGACCAGAGGCTCTACCGGATTGCCCGTTACTCATCAGTCATGCTTGATGGAGGCCGTCCACTGACCAGGGTCCTAACTCGCTTCTTTTTGCACTGCATCCGTCTCCACCTGCCAGAGAATGTCTCAGACCCAGCCGAATCCCGATCTAGCATCTGCGGAGAACATTCACAACCCATCCCGATTCCAACGACAGATACTCTAGTTCGTCTCAGCATTACCGCATTAGTCGCCTTCCCATCACGCGCCACTGCACACCATGCCTCTGGGCGGACACGCGAGCTCGCCAGGGACCGGAAGGCTGGAAATGCCCCAAGCGTAGCCGAGGTAGCAGCTGCGAAGTCCGTGTTGGTAATTTAGGTTTGTTGTGCTGCTCAGACTTCAGCGTTGCACTGCCAATTTTTCTGTTTGCGCCTGAGCCCCCTTTTCATACCCTCAAAGTCGCCAACTAGGTGTTTCTGCCATGTCCCGACCAAGACCGGCTACTTCCCCCTTGGCTCTGGCGTCTATGCGATCCTAGGTATCCCACGCGAAACGATACATGCAACGCATCAAGCGTCTCCTGCCAGTGCCTGTGCCGTCTCCTGCTCCGGCCCCTGTCCGGCCCATTGGCGCCTCTGATTCGCCGACGACTGCCTCGCGGCACCATCCAGTGCCATCTCCCCTCCCTGCCAGAGTGCCAGATCCCATGCTTCGAGTGGGCGACTACCTCGTCCGCACAATCTCCCGCGTTCTCGTCCTGGTCCAGTCGTTCCAGTGTCTCGGTCCCGCTGAGCCATCCTCCTCGTCGAGTCTCTGCCGTCTTTCTCGTCTCCGTCCTTCAGGCCTCGTCTCACCAATCGCTTCCTATCTTCTTCTCCTCCTCCTCCTTCTCCTCTCGTTCTTTTCGCTTTTTTGCCCGTCTGGGATCCGGCTTGTGGTGCTCGACTCTTCTAGTCCTGGGAGCTCAGTGAGGACGACCAAAAGTTTGCTACGAGACCTTGCCTTGTCTCACGCTGATGAACCCATGAAATATCTCCTTGCATCTGCTTGTACGACGACGACAACGACGACGACGCTAGCACAGAAGCATTAATCTGCCAGGGGCTTGCAAGTACCACCAGATTCTCGCCAGAGTGGAAACCGACCAGATTCAGTCCAAGAGTCCGCTTCATATCCCCCGACCCTGCGACACACAGTCACGGGCTCTCGTTTCTTCCCGCGACACAACCTGATCCGGCCAACTGCGAAAGGCTCTCTGTTTCCATCTGTTCTCTCGGAAACATCCAACAGGTGTTCCGTCAATCAATAATTCTCCTTTGATCCGACAAGGGCCGGCCCTCTTGGACTTCCAGAACGCGTACTCATCATTCACTCATTGTTCTCAACCTTCTCTTTGATTAGAGATTTACTCAGCATCATCAACTGTCACTCATTTTCTTTCATTTTCTGCGAGCTCAACATGTCGCTATAGCTGGCCCGGACATCATTAACAAAGACCTCTTTTCTCCGACCCGGCGGATTCATCCTAATATCGACACCATTTTCTCCCCGTTTGGCACGGGGAGACATCCGCCATCACAGCAAAAATGCCCCTTCCCGAACCGGAAGTTCCGTTGACAAATGCGTGCGCTGTCATCTTCGACAACACGATTTATACGTACTCAGCCGACGCGTTTCAGTCGCTACAGTTAACGCCAGGCGCAAAGTGGAAGAAGTTGGAGCAGGGCGAGAAGGTCACGGGCGGCGTCTGCGTAGGGGCGACAACAGGCACGGCAGCGACGTCTTCACTTTTCATCGTCGGCGGGAAGGGCCAGACGGAGGGCTACCAGGGCATCCAAAAGTACACGTACTCGACAGGGAAATGGGAGTCTCTTCAGTTGCCAGCACCGGTAACACAAAATCGGTTACTGCACGGTGCCATCTATCTGAACGCAACGGATTCCATCCTTGTCTACGCTGGCAATCAGGATGGTTCAACTGGCCCATCCACACAGACATATGCCATCGGCGCGTCTCCACCGTATAATGTGCGATCGTTCGAGGCCAGCGTACCGCCTGCTATCAACCCGATTCTTTTGCCATGGTCGGACAGCGAGGCTGTTATGCTCGGTGGCAGCACCTCGAACACACAGGTGATGCTGTTCAAGCCTGAGACAGGGTGGAGAGACTCGGGAGCAACCCTTGCCAATCCTATAGCGAAGGACACATCAGCAATCAAGGCGGCATTGGTGCGCGGCGATGATGGGTCACAAAACCTTTATACCTTTGACATGACACAATCACCCAACATGGTGCAGCGGATATTGTTAAGTACTGGCCCCGAGCAACCTATTCAGAACGCTGGGCCAGCGAAGAAGCGGGATGTTACGATACAGGAGGAAGAACGGTCGATTAGCGAAAAGAGGGATGTGCTGAACGTGTTGACCTGGCCGCATTACAACGCAACCCTGGCACCCACCAGCACAAGGAGTAATTATGCGATTGCGCAGGATGCCGATGGCATGGTTGTTTTTGTGGGAGGGAATTCAGAGGAACCTCTAGCCATGTTCAATGCCAAGGACAACACTTGGTATAATACGACGGACATGTTGGTGGATCAACAGGTGTTTATTGCCGCCTTCACCTCTTCGACAACCTTGGAAACATCGACGGTAGCTTCCACGACTGCTTCGAGGACAACCTCTACGAGTCTTCCAGAGTCGGAAGCTTCGACGACGCTGGTCACTGCGACCCCCACTGCAGCTTCTTCGGTTTCCCCTGTGAGTGCCGCTACTGCGGCTGTCAGCAGCAACGCTGAGAGCTCGAACGAACCCAAATCCCACACAAATATTATCCTTGCCGCACTACTGAGTTCAATCTTTGGACTTGCCATTGTCTTGTTCGCCATCTACTTCTGCATCAAGAGGAAGGGTAGGCAGCAGGCACGCAACCAGACAGGCGGTGCAAGGGGTGGGAGCGGAGGACCTGGAGGAGCTTACGACGAAAAGGCTGGTTACGGGTTCCCGCCTGATACCAAGGGTCCCTTCCGTGGCCATGGACACCAGACGCAGGATTCATGTGGCTCCATGTCATCCCTGGCGATGATCGGCTACGGTACAAACCACCAGAAACCGGGCCGCTCTTCCCCTGGCCACAAGCTCAGTATCAGCAACGCCTTCGGCAGGCGCGATTCGGACGACAGCACCTTTAAGGCGTTCAAGAGCTCCATCAGCAAGCCGGTTCCCGTTTCGCAAACCATATCCGCCGAGCCACCAGAGAATCCGTTCTTGGCGGCACACGAAAAGGAAGTATCGTTCGCGCCCAGCCCAGCCCAGCCGATGCCACGGAATCCTGCAGCCGCTGCCAACGTCGACCCCGAGATTCGGCGCAGCTCCGGATGGAACCGGTACTGGTCCGGCGGCTCAGCCCTGAACGTGATCGGACTCGGCAACAACACCAACAGTGCCGTGATCAACCAAGGCTCGCAACGAACCACTGTCGTCTCGGACGTGAGCTCCCGCTACAGCAAAAATACCCAACATAGAATGACCCAGGATAGCGCGACAGTGCCTCCACTTCAAGCTTACGAGCCGCGCGTGTCCTTCAACCGCGTAAACTCGGGCAGCCCAACCATCGCGCATCGCGACCACGATGACGAGAAGCTGTACGAGGGTATGAGTGGCCAGATCGAAATGCCCCGGCCCGTGAGCGGCGTGAGCTCCATTTCGGGATACTCGAGCGGCATTCCCGCTTCCGTGCACGACACCTGGGACCCGACCGAGTTCACGAAGCCATGGGGCGCTAACCGCGCTCCCAGCAGCGCGTACAGCGCAAGCATTTACACGACTCCCCTGGCGCCTGCGGGGAGGGTGCCGTCTCAGCTTGTCCACCAACAACAGGGGACGCGTCAGCAGGTAGTGCGCGATGACATGAGCTGGCTTAACTTGGGCGGAAAAAATGGCCCATGATCGGGTTCTGACTCGGTTGTTGCTTCTGTCAATTCTTTTTCACTAAAAACGTCTGGTCGGCTGCCTGTTGAAGGTCGCTGTTGCTCTTTCATTGTTGTTTGTTTGTTCTTCTCGTCGCTCACTCTTCCGGCTGTCTCGATGGAAGGATGGATGATGCTATCAATAATATCCTGTAATCGCGGCATATCCCGGACTCCCGTTAGTTCAGTAATTTGCTGTTGTTCGCTTGCTCTTGGGTATGAACAACTTGCCCACGCTCCTCAACGAACACTCGGAGGAAGAGGTAGATGAGGAGGGGGCGGAAAGAAATGTACTGTTTGTCCGCTTTATTTTCCGACTATCGTTTCGGATACCCTGTTATTATCTGTTGCTGGTGCTGGTGCTGGTGCTGTTGCTGTGGTTGTGGCCAAAGAGGAAAGCGGCTGGAGCAGAGGTGTAGTTCTAGGTCAGAGACGCGGCGCCGGTTGTAAGAAGGAAGGGAGGAAAGGAAGGAAGGTCATGCTGTTTATTAAGTTAGTCCATGTAGGTAGATCCGGCGTTATTCATCATCCATCATTACTATCATCATCTCTAACTGCCAGTTCTGTTCTTTTTCTCGTGTTGTCGTTTTCTTCTTCTTTAGTAGTCTCTTAAACTTTAGGCGTTGTTTTATCACTTTCCGTTTCTTACATTGAGCAAGCATTGTTGCATTGCATCAACTTTGGCGACCCAGGTTCGTTCGCAGATAGTTATCTTTCTTCGTATTTCTTATTTTTATTTTTTTCTCCCTCGGTCTAGTACTGTCAGAATAGGCGTAGTGGACATATATCATATATTCCATCATACCACTCTACACCAAAACCCCAGTCAATTGATTGAATCACCAGCGAAGAGCTATACAACTGAACAACAACAACAACAACAGAAATGTAGCTATACACTACCGCAGTCATCGGGTCATCGGGTCAAGTGGCCCGTTTCCTTCTCCAATATGAACTACTTCTCGTCCAGCAATCCCTGTGTCTGTCTCCCCGTTGTGGTCTGCATTACGATTGCGTAAGAAGAACAAGACCTGCGGGTTGTCAGGACTCAGGGGGACCAAGGTCTTCTTCTATGTACTGTACATACTGCAGAGTCCCCTGGAACCGCATGCGTAAGGTATACGCAGTACACCCAAATATGCCCTCGACATCCACAACTGCATCGCCAGGCGATATTACAAGTCTCTGTCTCCCACCAAAGGCTAGCTCCCTATTCTGCAGAAATACATAGCAGTTGGTGCATAATATCTGGTGGTCCCTAGTAGTGTTTGGATTGTATGCAGTTTTAGGGGACTTTACAGTACTTTACACTCTTTGTGTACAGGTGTGCATAATGCATGTACACTACGTGATACTGCGACCAAGACGAGAAATCCAATGGGGTTGGAGGAGGCGCATGATGTTGCCTCTTACCATGCAATGCATCTGGTGGAACCCCCACTTCCTGGACGTGGGACTGCGCAGAAAGACTGCTGCAGTTATAAAAAGATTGTCAAACTAGGATTCTTCTGCGGGTGGTTGTTTCAGTGAGCATCTGCCGTTTTTTAGAGAGTTGGTTTGTAGTAGAAACACGGTATTATGTTTCCTGAGATCGTTCAAGAAGGTCTTGGAATCATCTCTAGAGCTTCGTTTGACAACGTTCTTCGCTCGGAACGGACAAATGTTTCTGGACGAATGTAGCTGAAGAAACGATGAAGGATTCTCTCCCACGTGCTTGCCATTCGCAAATTAATTTCTCGTCACAATACCACTGAGGGATGGAATGGATCTGGAAGGTGTCACCTCACCTCTGACACAGTAGAGGTAGCCCTCGGTCCTAGTCTAGTCTGTGAGATGACTGTCGGCCCCACTGCCTAACCCGGGGAGCTACAATACCTCTTCAATGCTGCAAAATTTGTTAGCGCTGAACTTGAGTAGGCAGGGTATAGAAACAGAAGAACTGATTGGCTTTGCAGGCCGATGCCCTCCAAAGGTGGAGAACCACACTTCAAGCCCACACACATCAACCGCTTGAAGCCCCACTTCCTTTTACTACCTCGACAGCTCGAGTATTACTCGCGATGTTGACCCGCCGTCAGATCCTATTTGACCAACCTAAAAGAGTAAAGTGCTTGCTCCAAGTACTAGTGTACACTACAGTAACAAGCTTATCAGGGTTAGATTGTACCAGCGTGCGGACAAACGGCCTGAGGTGCCGCTCGAAAGAGAGAGAGAGAGAGAAGGGGGGGTTCGTGTTGAAGGTCGAAGCAGCTGTCTCGCGATAACTGAGAGTGATGGTCTGATCTAGAAGGAACAATAGCTACAAGAGCTTGTCAGATGTTGACATCGTTTCTGCGTATTGCCCGGGCAGTTTGGATTCCGTCGGTTTTGATTTCTTGGGAGGTCTTGAAGGCGGCGTGAAGTTAACATCGGCGGGTGCCTGGAGGTATCCAATTGGTAGGCGGGGCGGGCGGGGTCTAGAATAGATCGACCCGGGCCTTTTTCTCTGCCTTCTTTCACACGCTGCGAGGGGACGTTGGGACGCCCGCCCGGGGCTGGGAACCGCTGAGACTCTTCAATTGTAAAGACGGAGTCCCACATCGCTACATACTTCAATCCAACCGACAGAAAAGAGAAAGCATCGACGAATCCAGTCTCTCTATATTCCCGTCAGACGCGTCCGTTTAAAGGGTCTCTGGGGAGCTACCAATCAGTAGCGCACATCCTGACAATCTTTCGCCGGGTCGCGCAGACCTGATCGCGAACCCGAACAGTTTCGTCGTCGGCAATAATCTCGGGTCCTCGCTAGGTACCGTTAAATTACGGAGTCACCATAGACGGGACTGGCCCGGCCAAGACTCGAAGCCCGTCGAGGTTATCCGGCCCTTTAAGCGGTCATCCGTCATCGCATTGTCGATCAATAATCAAGTGCAAGGCCACTTGCAGAGCCGCCTGAGAAAGTCCAAAATCAAAGCCGAGTCCCCAACCACCTGGCCTTGGCCTCAACGTCCTTCGACTCAACTGATCACCCAACAGCCGGTGTCAAAATTACTGGACTGCCTCCGCCCAAAGCGCCGTACCCGTTTCCGTACCCGCACCCGCACCCGCACCCGTGCCGGACAGCCGGCCGTCCCCGAACCATCTTCAATCCGGACTTTGGACAAAGCCTCCCCAGGAGGGCGCGGACGTGATGAACTCCTCATCGTGGAGTGCCCCGGACCACAGTCACCACCCGGCCCTACACACCGCAGCCGATGATGACTTCCACCAGTTCTTGGATATAAACGACATGGGCGATCTATCTGACGCCTTGGACTTTGACTTTCGCGACTTTGGGGCTGACCACCATACTGCCCACCATGCTGGCCGCCATGCCGCCGACCATCTGCTACATCCGTCGGGGGGAGAGCATCTGGACACCCCCATGACTGGTACCGACATGCCCATGATCCTATCGCCCGTAGACCATGCCATGCTCCGACATGGGGTGCAACAGCAACATCAGCAACACCAGCAACATCAGATGCCCACCATTACCACGACTGCGCCATATCAGAACGCCCCGGCGGCCTTGATACAGCCATCCACACCCTCAGAGGCCATCGTCAACACCATCGATGCCCAAATCCAGTTCCTCCAGCAGCAGAAGCTGCATGCTCAGCACCAGCAACTGCAAGAGCAACAGGCCGCCTTCTTCGCTTCTCAGCAGAACCACATAGTTCCTCCTACACCTCAGAGCCTGGAACTCACTGCTGGATCTAGTCAGAATTACTATGCCCAGTCGACACTATCTGATCAACACCACTCCGGGCCACAGAAACAGCAGCAGCCGCAACAAGCCATCGACTACAGATATACAAGGATCAAAGACCAGCATGATGTAGGTCCACAAACGTCTGCTCCGTCCAAGTTAAGACAAAAAAAAATTACTAACCAACCATGGCAGATGTCCTTCACCCCGTTGGTATCACCGGCTGTGACACCGCTGGAGACCCATTTTCCCATTGATACTCCCTTTGCCGTCCCTGGAGCGTACTTCAGCCCCCTTACCTCGCCAGCCTTGCACGCGCAAAATGACGCCTTGGGTATCATTGACCAGAGGCTCGGGATGATGAGCGGGAGCTCGCCAAGGGAGATGGAACTCGAACCACCTGCCATGTCTCAAGCGAGCGTTAGCCCAGGCGATTTGGCTAGGAAGACGCGCAAGAACGCAGTGAAGGCCAGGGCAAAGAGCGGCAGTGGCATCAAACAGTCTCCCATCTCGAAGCCGATACGTAGAAAGACGGCCACCACCCCGATGCTTAACCCCCAAGCTTTGAACCAACTGGTTGAGAATGCAGCACCAAGTCAGGAACGCCAACAACCTCTTACGCCGCTAATACCGACCTCGTCTTCGTCCACAGCTGGTGTAACTGACTCTGAGAATGGGTCCATCTCCCCCGAAAATCTCAACGATGTTGTCTTACCGGTCGAGATGCCTCCGCCACCACTTCCGAAACCTCGCTCCGCCAAACCGTCCCCTTTTCTGGCACCTCAAGCGAGCGGTAGTGCTATGCCTATTAACCTTCAGCCGGGACGGCCTGGAATTGCCTCTCCTGCAACACCAGCATCACTGATGAAACTAAGCTCGCCGAGCAATCGCAACCCTTCAGTGGTAGGAACCGGCTCTCATGACCCAATGGATCCCGACCACATTGAGAACTTTGAGCTCCCGGACTCCATCAACTTCTCGTCTGCACCAAAACCCGCCCCTATAATTACCACTCTTGGAACACCGGCTCTCGATCCTCTCCAAAAGGCCGCCGCGCCTCTACAAACGCCAGGCCTCCCACCACCACCTTCTCCTGTGGTGGCCAAGCCTCTGGCACTTCCTTCCGCCGCTCTTTCCAGTCCACAACTGAAGCCCGATTCCGCTCATAGCCTGAAACGGACACCCCAGCTTGCACCCATGGGAAGAAGCAGCAAAAAGCGTGCAAGCGTGACCTCCATCCAGATGTCCCCGGCCCTTCGACCCAAGATCTCGCCCAGCATCAAGCCTCTGCTACCAGGAGGTTCTGCGGGTGCCGAAGACGCAGCATCGATTTTGCTCGCCACCAAATCCAACTACCAACGCATTCTCGAGGGCAACACAGTTCCCGGCGTTTCGTATCCCAGCGAGCTTTCTACGAACCTCACATCGAAGCGGACGTCGCACAAGATCGCGGAGCAAGGCAGGAGGAACAGGATCAACTCCGCGCTGCAGGAGATCGCCACGCTTCTCCCCAAAGCTCCTGCGAAGGAGGGGGGAGATGGGGATGGAGACGGTCATAGTAGTAGCGGTGGGGGCGGTGGCAGCGGGGGTGCTGACAGGGAAGATAAGAGGGAGAAGGATAAGGACAAGACTGGAGGGGGGATACCCAATAGCAAGGCGAGCACAGTGGAGATGGCAATTGAGTATATCAAGCAGCTGCAGAAGGAGGTGGCGGACGCGAACAAGAGGGCGGAAGAGGCAGAGAGGAAGTTGGTGGAGATGAAGATGCAGGGAGGCGTCGCGACGGGGTCCGGATCATCAGTTGGTGATGCGGGTGATTTGGGTGCTCCAACCACGGAGGCTAATCCGGTCGTGGATGAGGACCTGAAGTCTGGCGGTGGTGACGCGATGGATGAATAAGATATCAAGATCGGATTAAAGCACGTGCCACTAATCTGGCGTGTACAAACAGGCGAGCCGGGTGTATAAGTGGGCAAAAAAGAGAAAGGGTTGGTTGACTTTTGGGTATAATCATGCGGGTGTTCAGAGTGGGCGAGATTTTTGCTTTCATGATACAAGGTAAACATCTCCCGCGGGTGGATTATGGGGTTAATTAAACATACAGGCGGTGGTGTTTGGATATACCCCTCCTCTTAGAATAGGAGTACTCAAATAGAAATAATTAGGGAGTCATGATGAACGGGATGATGGCGCTTGATGGGGTGAGGTAACACGAGATTTATGATCTGTACTTGGGCAAACCAGGATTGTTCTGCGTTTTACCTACCTGAGAGGGGTGTTTGGCTTCCTGGTGCTACCGGTGTCTGTGTCCTCGCGAAGTGCTCGCTTGGCCTTTCTTCACGCAGGTGAAGTTGAATGAAGGCTTGTCATAGCTGTGCAACAACCATTCGCTTGACCTGACTAAACTCAAAACAATGAGATTGAGATGGGTCATGATAATTTTCATGATAATTCATGTTATCACACAGATTGATCATCTCTGCTTGAGCATGGAGACTGCTTCATCTCCTCAAGCAACGACGCTAGGCGAAAGATATGAATCTATAGCATGCCCGAACCACTTTTCTCTCATCTTTACTGCATTTTTCCAACCACGCTTGGCCATCGAATTTAGTATCATCTTCACTCACTTCCACAGCTATACACAGCCTCACAAACACGAACAAATCGCTTCTGAGTGAGTAGGTAGGTAGTCATGGGGACAGAAAAACCAACAGCTCCTCCGTGCACCCACCCTTTCTCTCATCCATCCTCGAATCTCCAAAGCACCGCAACGCCTTCTTCAACGCTAGTGAATTATTCACGACCTCTTGATCCTTCAACTTCAACCAACAACAGTCAACAACCAACTGGCGAGGTGAAGGGAAAGGATAAAGAAGCCACGGAAAACGATGATGAAGGACAAGGAGATATGAATGCTGAGAAAACGCCAGAGCCACAGCTACAGTCTCAGAAGAGAGATGATGATGACGATGATGATATTTATGATGATTATCAGCAGGATGATGACGACGGGGACGAAGACGAAGAAGAGGAAGACGAGTACACCGAACTCTTCCAGGTCCTGGCCAACGTAGCGAGAATGAAAGTCTTCGGCGAACGAATGAACAATGCAGAGGGGGGTGCTTTGAGTGGTGGTTTGGGAAAAGCGGGTTGGTATCATGAAGTTCAGTATCTCGGTATGAGGGGGTCCTTGGAACGTATTGCTGGGGATGGGGTCAGTGATAATGGGTGCTCTTTTAAGGAGGGAGAGAGTGAGGAGGAGAGTGAGGGTCATGGGGACGGGGGAAGAGAGGAAGGGGAAGAAAAGGGGCAAATGGAAGAATATGAAGGAGAAGAAGAAGGAGAAGAGGAGGAGAAGGAGGGGAAAAGAGAAGAAGGAAAAGAGAGAGAAGATGACGATGAAGAGAACTACGTTATTGTCACATTCCTAGGGGAGCAGACTGATTCAGATGATGAGAGCTGGTACTTCGTTGAAATTACCTCTAGTGACGAAGAGGAGGACAGCGATGACGACGAGGGCAGCAAGGACAACAAGGACACCGAAAAAAATGAAGACAAGAAGGGCAACGTAAACAGAAGTGAGAGCAACAACGCGAAACACCACAGCAAAAAAGGCAACAAAAACGACGGCTATGACTCTGATAACGACGAGTGGCACGACCATCATCATTGTCATCATTGCCAATCGTTCCGTAGCATCACCATCCAAACCACCACGACTACCAACCCGCAACGACAATCACACCGCCAACTCCAAGAAGAAAATCGACTCCCCCTCGTCAACCTACCCTTCGAGATACTCCAATCCTCCCCCACATCCTTCACCATCCAGCTCGCCATCCCCGGCGCCAAGCGGCGGGATATCAGCATTGCCTATGACCCCAATATCAACGTGTTGACGCTCAGTGGGGTTTTGTATCAGACTGTTCTGTCTGTTGAGGATTCATCTTCTGCTTCTTCTTCTACCTCTTCTTCTCTCGAATCTGAGAGCGAGACAGACAGTAAAGGTAGACCAGAAGCGGGTATAAATCAGGGCTCACAACTCAAGTCGAAAGCCGATTTTGAAGCGGACTTGGAGTTGTGGTTGGCGTATGAACGGGCCTCAGGACCCGGGGTGAATTCAGGATCGGGCTCTGTTTTGCTCCTTGGAGGGTATGGGGAGGAGGAGGAGGAGGAGGAGGAGGAGGGCAAGCAAGGGGGTGGTGGTGGTGGTGGTGGTGGTGGTGGTGGTGGTGATGGTGATGGTGATAGCAGCACAGACACCGACGACAGCAATAACAAACAGTCGCAAACCCAGAGCCAAACTCCTCCGACAACGACGGAAGAAATCCCCATTGGACAGATTTTAGACCAGGTCAACTTCGTTATCTGTTCACCTACCCCTACATCTGAATGTCGACTTTCACCGTCATCTACACCTGAAGAACAAAAACAGCGCAAAGAAGTGAGTCTCGAGCAGATCAAGGCGAGGTTGGAGGGTGGAATACCAACAGTTGTTGTCCCGCTTGTTGTTGAGGAAGAGGCCGAGGACGAAAGTATGGTGGGGATGGCAATGTAAATGTGTTTTTTTTTCTTGGTCATTTGTGAAGAGGTAAAACGCGCGAGTTGATGAGTTTCTGAGTGCGTAATTTGGGTTTGAGTGTGGTCTTTCCTATGGAGGATGAGAAAGGAGTGGATGGCTAAGATAGTAAGATTGCTCGCTGTTGGCGATGAAAGTCCAAACAGCCTTGACCGTGAAACATATGCAAAGGAATACAGTAAATTTCCTCCTGCTTTCTATGGATGACTGAGATGGTGATCACATTCGCAATGCCAGTAGACCGTGACCGAAATCACAAAGATCATTGGTACACTTGAAATTATGGTCTGCACATCGAAGAGGAGGGGATTTGAAGACCGAATGTTTGGTTGACAAATTACTATATACTAATATAGATATCGCTTAAGCTCCAGTCCAGGTAAAGTACTACTTCCCCACCAAAACTTGCAATATCTTCTTTCATCACAACAAGCAAACCACACCTCTCACAGTCCAGCCAGTACACCCTGAATACCGGGAGTAGCGGCATCCTCTCTCTTCTGCACAAAGGCTTTGAAATCTGCTTTTTGCAACTTCTTACCCGATCCGCCACCGCCCGCCGCACCCCCAGCGGCACCACCGCCACCACCACCACCACCACCTCCTCCTCCTCCTCCTCCCCCAGTACCACCACTGCCGGTGGCCAAGAACTTGGAACGTTCGCGAAGGGCCTCGGGTCCAATGATGAAGAGGTATCCGACCTCGGTAAGCAGCTCGACAATTGCCTGTACCTCCTTGGTCAACGGCCACTCCTTCATTGTCGACACGTACTTGGCGATATCCTTAGTCACCATCAAGCCACCGGTGGCGTTGACTGAGAACTTCTTGAAGTGCTCAAACAAGAGCGAGTGGACGGCCAGGGCGAGTTCGGAGCTGAACAGCTCAAGGTTGTGGCCGTCGATAGCCAGCGCGGCCTGCGCCGCCACCTTGGAGGCCAAGAACGTGCAGATAGCCTGACAAGTGGGCGTCTGCAGGTCGACGAAGCCTTCAAGGTCGTTGTCGCGGGGCCGGTAGTCCGTCTTCTTCTGGCCCGCCAGAACCTTAGCGACCCAGTTGACCGCCACATCCATGGTACTCTTGAGGACGGCGTTGGTCTTCCGCTCCGTGGCCTCGATGGCTTGCTTGGCTTGGGCCTCCATGCTGCGGCGCAGGGCTGTGTTGGACTCGGCAAGCCGGATCAGCACAGTTGTGATGAACCGCGACATGAGGTTCGTGATGGTGACGGCCGGTTTGATGTGAGGGAGGTACGAGAGGTCAGGTTCTGTCTTGATGTTCTCCTGCGACGTGGCAGTGTCCAAGGCGGCATCGAGGGCAGTCTCAACGTAGACTTGGCCCATGCTGGTAAGGAGAAGGTTGAGCAAGATGTTGATGTCTTTGGGGGTTTCGCTTCCCGAACCCATCTCGAGCGTTCTGCGCACGCTTTCGGCCAACCAGACAATCATGCGCTTGGCGTTCTGTACGCTCAGGCGGCCGTGTTCCTCCGACACTTCGATCTCGTTCTTGTTGCTGCTATTGTCTTGCAGACCGGCAACCCTCAACATCATGCGCTTCTGAGTGGGTGTAAGGTCTGACGAATCGAGTCGCTCCATATAGGCATCTTTAGCGGTTGCCAAAAGCTGAGTGCCCTGTTGGGCAATAGCGGCCATGAAGCCCGAGGGAGCCTTCTTTCTGCGTGAGTGATACAAGGTGAACTTGAAGAGCAACGAGTTGTACAGTTCCTCGAGACTCTTCCTTTCCCTGTCGATGTATGAGTTTTGAAGTAAATAGGGGACGAATAATTCCTCTAGCTGCTGATCAAGAGTCTGTGATATTTGTGCAGAGCATGGTTCCGGGTGCTCTGTAAGACCGTGGGTTTTGAGGTCTTCCACCAGGGCACCAATGTAAGATCTCGACGCATGCAAGGAGCGCAAATAGGCGAGCGATGAAATTGTCGTCGCTTTGTCCAGTAGCATCTCCAGCCGTTGTTGAATAGACTGCTGGAAAACACGCTGTATAAACTTGATGAGGACTGTTTCGTAGTATGGGAAGGCACGCTTAATGATAAAAGATTCCTCCTGCATCACGATCTTGACCTCGTCAACAAGAGATTGCAGACTGGGCTCGACACCTGGTGGGTCGGAATCGGGATCAGCCAGTTGCTCCCACATCTCGCCATCCGTCGTAACCTCGTCGGTGATGAGCTGGTCTCGGTCGATAAAGAACTGGTGCTGGTTCACGAAGGCGGCGATGACGCTGGCACCGCCGTGGAAATCGTAGAGGACCTTTGCGCACTCCATCATGTCGTCGAAATTTTGCCGGCGGTAACTGTTGTTGAACTGCTTCAGAAGGTCTTGCTCAAGATGCTCGCAGAACTTTTCAAGAGCCTCCCTAGTATTGTGCTTCCGCGTAGCACCGTTGGCGATGCCATTGGCACGGAAGCCACCTGTTACCCACGACAAAGGGTCTAGTCTCTGACTGATGCGCATAAGCTGGCGAGCAATGACGGCGCAGCGAACCTTGTTCTCGGCACCGCCCTGTCTCTGAATCTCCTCGAGCGAGGTGAGTTGGCCTGTCTCGGAAACCTCTGTCCAGCACTGAATCAGGAAGTTAGCGTCCTGCGCCTTCCTCCGTTTCCTATCCAGCTCCTCCAGCTTCTCTCCAATCTGGACGGCAATGTTTCCTCCACCATCAGGTCGGCCGTGTCCGTTCATGGAGCCGCTATTTGCGCTGGAGTTATTCAGGGTCAAGTCGAGGGCCTCGAACTGGGCCATTGACTGGTCTAGCTTCCGACCAAGGGTATCGAGAGTCTGGTCATGTTGAATTTCTGCTCGCCGAACCTGTGATAAGAGCTCTGATTCCTTCTCTTGCAACTCCTCGCTCAGAGTGCCCAACTGTGACAGCGCATTCTCGAAGGTCCGGATGAGGGGCTTGGGGTCAAAGGGGGTGCTCGCACTCGTGGGGCCGGAGCGGCGGTTCGCTGGAAAGGCAGTGTCGGCGAGGGAATCGACAAAGTCGCGTACAATGAAGTCTTTACTGGAGAAGTCGTCGATGGTGAAGCTGGGGCCCTTGGGGAAGAGCCCGGGGCCGGGGGACCTCGTGCTGCCGGGTCCGCCGCGTTCCATGGCGGCGTGTGTCACCTGGCAGGGAGATCGAGAGAGCGCATCAAGCTGGGTGTGTGTTTACGATGGGAGACGTTGTGATTCTCGAGAGTCGAAGTTATTGAAGTTGAAATGGTTGTCGGTGTAGTCGTAGATGCATTACGCGACGATGCTGAGCTGTTGTCGTATCAACCCATACCGCGGAGTTGAAGGTGTGTATGCACGGCGTGGAAGGGTGGGTGGTCACCGTCAGGCCTGCTGCCCTGGGGTGGAGGAGGTGTAGCGGGAGGGGTGCCAGGGGCTGTCCGGGGGAGTTGCAGAGCGTCGTGAGGATATCGTTCCCTGCGGTACCTCTGCGGGCATGGATTGGGGAATTCCATATGATTGAACCCACCACCACGCCGTTCGGGCAACGTACGTTGGATTGTGTCCCACTTTTTTGTGGCCCAACTTCAACCTGGTCCCTGCGCTTTCTTCAGCCACAGTTACCAGTCGTAAGGACAGGTTTTTGGTGGGGAACAGAGGGGGGACTTTCAGATGTTTCTTTCCCGAAATAATCTGACATCAGACAGGGATCTCGTGAACGGTTCGAGGGAAGCTGCCAGAGTGGTGGTTTTGGGATGATTTCCCGCGCACTAGGTACATACTGACCACGGTGCTGCGGTAGCCAACTGGGGTATGATAGCTGCAAGCAACTGAATCCACCTTCAGCAACCTGCACTTGCCTATCTTTTAGAACTTCCAGCTGGCCCCATTCTTTTCCTCGTCAGCCTCTCTTTCTGCTCGCTCGTTTTATGCGCAACTAGACCTTCAGCGGTGGACTGACTCTGAACTGCATCCTGCCATCCTCCTCCTCAACGCGCTCCTTTTCTGTGTCGGCCCGTGCATCCTGCGGTTATCCCAAGACCCCCGCCATCGTCGTCCCAACACTCGTCCTGTTATATCGTACATAGGTATTGCCACAGTCTTCCGGCCGAGGTGCGACAAGGCCCATTGCGACGACCGTTGCGCGACAGCCTCCACGTCAACATGTTCAAACCACGGGATATCGAGGCCTACCGGCGCGATGAGAAACTCGGCCACAAAATGCTTACGCCCGAAGAGAGGATAAGGCTGCTCAAGGTACGTCTGCTCCTGATGCGTCATGGCTTGAAGAGTTGATTGCTAACCTTTGGGATAGCCCTATCTGCCTTCGCCCCCTTTGCACCCCTCGGAGCAAGCCAGCAAACGAGCAATGGAAGAGCAACAGAGGCTAGGAGTACGGCGCTTTCTGAAGACGCACTGGCACCTGCTGGTCTTTACTATTATACATGCTCTGTTCTCGCTCTACATCCGAATCCGCCAAGCATACCACCAAGTGTTCAACAAAGTGTCTTCCATCTATCACCACCACCACCGGGCGCCCGATCTGATTTACAACGATGTCAAGGACCTGCGAAGGCTACCAAACCACCTAAGTGTTATCTTGACCTTGGACGAGGACGCTAGAGGCGGTACCGGCCTGGCCAAGCTGATTGAGGAAGCTTCGGACATTGCTGCTTGGTGCGCAAGTGCCCGGATTCCTCAGCTATCCATCTATGAAAAAACCGGTACGTGGATCTTCCAACACGGAGCTTGACGGGCTAAGAAAGAAAAGACTAATATCATTCCCACCAATCAGGAACATTGAAGGGTTATCTTCCTCGCGTTCACAGATCCATGACACAAAAGCTTGCCGCATACTTCGGACCGAACACTCCCGGCATTGGGATTAGAGCACCTCACTGCCCTTCGATGGAGACGGCCCCAACTCTTGCCGCAAGCCGTAGCGAGAACGATGGCATCAAGCATCTCTCAGTCATGATTCTATCAGCGGAGGACGGCCGCGATTCCATAGTCGATCTTACCAAAACCCTCGCTGATATGTCTCAGCGGGGCAAGATCTCGACTTCGGATATCACAATTGAACTAGTCGATGCGGAGTTGAGCGAGAGTGTCATGGGCGAACCGGACCTCCTTCTGTTGTTTGGTCCCCGTGTCGAACTGGTTGGCTATCCTCCATGGCAAGTTCGCTTGACTGAGATCTCTCATGTCCAGGACAATGAGGGGGTCAATTATCAGGTTTTCTATCGGGGGCTTTTGAAGTATGCCGGCGCACAAATGCGCTGGGGAAGGTAGAACCGAGCGGTGCCAAGTGGTCAGTGGCTGGAATCCGAATGCAATCGACTTAATCGAGTAACGCAGTGGTTGGATTCAATTGGCGGTTAACACATAAGGATTATAGATTTACGACTCTGCAAGCATGCGAGCGGGGAATATTCATCTGTTTATCATTATTCTATCTGGTGCATTAGAAGTGTCCTTAACTGAAAGGGGATATTTGCTACTCGGGTGGAGAGAGATATGATTGAGTCGGAGACAAGAGTGAACTGGGAGAAAGATTTTGATCACCCAACGATGGCTCGCGACTCGGACTGGCTGACATCAAGAAACAGTATTAGAATGTGATATGTAAGGAGACACAATGGTCAATATCAAAAGGACAGGACTGAAGTGGTCGGCTCAGGACATATGCCTGTATCAGCCACTCATGACGTTCCGCTACGATGCAGCCTTGTCCTAAAGAGCAGAGATAAGATAATTCAGCCACACCTTGGTGTGGGGCTCTCTGTTTATTGCAGTTTAGCCTTGCGGTTGCCCCGTAACAAAGTTTCACTTCATTCGCCCAATTTGTATTTTACGAAAGGTGAGTTGAGCTTCCAAAAAGACAGGACACTCCACCAATCCACTGGACACGGTAGTGTAATGAGTTGTCTAAACCAGTTTCACTAACCATGTCTCAATCAGCAAAGGAAAACCAGGGGAGTGGGGAAGGGAAGACTCAAGATATGGCCATTTTCAGCCCACCCGTAGTTCGCTCAGGCGCTGGCGCCCTCAACCGGGCTCTGTTCACAAAGACTGTCAACCTGGCTGCCGCCGCCGTTAACGATAACCGTCTTATATCCAAGTACAGAAAAGAGCTTGAGCACAACAAGGAGCTCTTGCGCCAGGACAGACTGTCCCCTATTGTGAATCACCCAGACAAGGCCCTCGCCGACCAAGGAAAGAAATGCCTGCTTCTTAGCCCCAACGTCAAGGCACCAGGTTAGAAAAATCATGGCTATCAGAAACATAATCGAAGACTAATCACTTTGTCTGCTTTTCTTCTTCTTTCAGAACCAGAGACTTGGGGGGCTGCTCTCAAGGAAGGTGTCCAGAAGAAGGAGTTGTCTGTTATTCCTTATGAGCTCCAGCTCAACTATGACTACTGGACATATCGTATGAAACCTGTATCAAGACCCTCCTCATACCAGTTTCACTTAATTGACGATTGCCTGCAGATGATATCATCACCTCTATTCTTCCAGAGGAACTTCATGACGATATCCCCTCTGGCTTCAACACCGCTGGCCATGTCGGTGAGTGAGAATGGACACTGGCCTGCCCTTCTCTCAGCTTGTTGTTCTAACCAGAGTCCAGCCCACATGAACCTACGCGAACGTTACATCCCCTACAAGAAGGTGATTGCCGAGGTCATCCTGGACAAGACCACCAACATCCGAACCGTCATCAACAAGGTTGACAATGTCGGAGCCGAATCCGAGTTCAGGACCTTCCAGTATGAGGTTTTGGCTGGTCCCGACGACATGCAGGTTCAGGTCACCGAGAACGCCTGCTCTTTCGAGTTTGACTACTCAAAGGTGTACTGGAACAGCAAGCTGGAAGCGGAGCATCGTAGGCTCATCAACATGTTCGAGCCCGGCGAGGTGGTGTGTGATGTCATGGCTGGCATAGGCCCCTTTGCGGTTCCGGCTGGCAAGAAGGGCGTCTTTGTCTGGGCTAACGACATGAATCCCGAGAGCAACAAGTACATGCAGGTGGCCATCAACAGGAACAAGGTATGATCTTTTCTATTATCACAGATCCTGCTCTATTGTCTCTTGTTTTCTTTTGGATCTAATCTAGCACCCAGGTTTCGCAATACGTCCGTCCCTTCTGCGAAGATGGCCGGACCTTCATCCACCACGCCGCCGACTCAATCCTTGAAGCCCACAAGAACGGCGAGCACGTCCTCATCGCCCCCAAGCCGCCCTCGCGCGCCAAGAAGGCTCCCAAGCCCGAGCCCAAGCGCATCGACATCCCGCCCATCATCTCGCACTTCGTCATGAACCTGCCCGCCACCGCCATCGAGTTCTTGGGGTGCTACCGCGGTGTGTACGCCGGCCACGAGGACCTTTTCTCTGCCGAGAGCGGTCGCAAACTGCCCCTCGTGCATGTCCACTGCTTCTCCTTCAAGGCTGATGATGAGACACCCCTCAACGATATTTGTGAGAGGATCACCAAGTATTTGGGCTTCCCTGTTAAACCGGGTAATCCGGATGTCGAGGGCGAGGTGGCGGTTCATGATGTTAGGGACGTGGCGCCGGCTAAGAGGATGTTCTGCGCTAGCTTTAGGATTCCGAGGGAGGTTGCATTTGCGGAGAGAGTTTAAGGTAGCGATTTTGCGGCTTTTGCCAACTGGATGGCTGAACGGCCGGCTACTGGACGCTATGCCTACGTGATCGGTGGTCTATGGCTTTTCACTGTTGACTTTGGTCCATTGCAAGCTGGAAGAGCATGCATGGATGGATACCCCGGATATCACGGAGACGCTTGGGAAAGAGGTCTTGTTCGTCGGCGATCTTGGGGGACTTCTATGTTTAGCTAGTTAGAAACTATCTTGCCTAGGTTGCGCTGTGAGCTAGCTGGGAAAAGGAACAAGTTCAAGAGACATGTATGAGTGACTTGGAAGCAAGGGGATTTATCGTCACCCTCAACAAGTTTGTGTCATTCGAGTATCACCGTGACTGAATGAGAGCGACAACGAAGGCAATGACAAACCTTTGACACTACTACTTCCGCCGAATGAGCTAAGGAAATCGACTCGAAGACACGTGGCTAGTGAACCGAATCTCGCGGGTCATCCCGCTGTACAGCCGACTCCAGTCGTCTTGACTCGATTCTTTTGGTAGTCTGTCCACTTCAACCTAGTTTCGCTAGAAAAGTGTTGGAGTGTGAAGGTGATGATGATGTGATCGATGGGCACACTCTCGGGGGTGTGTATTGAGAGAAGAGAGCGGGCGCTAGTGTCATTCATATCCACCTCAGCTTTCCTCCTACTACAACATTGGACAACGCGGGCATGTGATGAAGGAAGGGAGGAAAGCCTGATGGACGATAGACAGGTACCGTTGTTAGAATCCCTGCTTCAAGACTAGCATGTTTTTGTCATGGCTGAACACGGTCTCAATTGCCATCTCATGATTCGTTTCGTTTTATTTCCCCTGTCGAAGTCGTCATCGGTCGATAACCGTTAGCTACTGTACTTCCCCCTAACCTGTAGGTCTTGCTGTGTAGAGGTAGGTATGTTATCAGTCGGTCAACCGCTCCGGTAACGGTGAAACATTCAATCTCCATATTGAAACCCTGCTTCTCGTCTTCTTTTATCTGCTTCTGCATGACCGTCGGGGATCTACGTCTAGGTTTTAGTTTAGTGTTGGCTTTATTTCCGACTCAGGTACCTAGCGAGCCTATTTGGCCATGCCACGAAGTCGAACGGCGTCGCTTGGCGGTCTGGCTTTCCCCCTTCCCATTTTATCCATTCCGGTACTTGAACTTTCTTATCCATAGAGGTAGCGATGCAGCACTGTTAGCCATTGAACCTTCCTGCTTCAGGATTGCTCGGGGCAAAGAAGGGGATGGGAGAGTGTTTTTTTTTTTTTTTTTTTTTTTTTTTTTTTTTTTTTTTTGTTGTTGAGTGGGTGTAGGATGGTGGTGATGTCCAGAAGGACATGCCAGGGAAGGAACCACTTAAAAGCGACACTGGCCTAAAAGTTGAAGCCCTGTACTTTACCTGCAACTAAGTAGAGGTAGCTTCCACAGCTTCTCAAATGGAAGCCAGAGGTTCTGAATTACACTGATCTTGCACAGCCGGAGGAGCTGCCTTGTCCTTAGCACTTTCCGTTTCTCTCCAGGAAGCCTTCAAGATTTTGAACTGTGTTGAATTCTGGTTAAGTTTCCCGTCTTTGCCGATCTCAACCTCTTCCCATTGAAGAGAGTTGGCAAGTGCAGACGACGGAAACCGGCAAGCATTGGCCAACAGGTGGTGTGAACTGGAAGTGTCGCTTGCGATAGCACTCAACGGTCCTCTTCGGTCATTGCACTTTGGATGGCTACTTCCGCGCTAGAGAATGATACCCTGGATGCTTCTGCAGTACAAATAGACTCACGAACGCTCATAACAATTCTCGACACCCAGTGCTTCGATGCCGATACGTGGAATACGTGATCCAATTCGTTTGTCATGTTCCTTCCCTAGGTATGTAGTCGTCATGTTTTTGCAAGTCTAGCGATATGCAAGGTCCGCAAGACACTGGGTTCCACCGCGAGCCTCAAGTGCTTGGCCCTCCCTTTGATTGAAAGCCTGTGTGCATCAATTGGATTAAACACACGTCCGAACCGGCGGGTCAGCTCATGTGCCGTCGAAGTAGGTATCTCTCGGCTGGCATCTACCTGCCACTATTTTTGTATTGCACGCATCGGCCCGAGGGTGGGCTGGAAGAAACATGCCATCACCACATCTGAAGCTGGAGCAAGTCTCGATCGGATAGTGGACATATCGATTGAACGAGAAGGGGAACCATCGTTGGGTGTTATCAGCGAAAAAGTTCGAGCTTCCTTGGTACCATAGTAGTCGATAGATAGATGGACGGACACCTCTATATAGATGAGCGGGTGGTGGTGTGGTTGTAGAGATTTAGATTGCTTGCATGTCTCGGTCAACGCATGGCGTTTCCGTCAGTGCACCTCGGCGTGTGCGCAGGTGTCTTTTTAGTGCAGTCGTATCATCTTCTAGGTAGGTATGTAATGGTGTTGTTGTGTTCCGTAAGACGTCGGAAAATCCATGCTGTGTTGGTGTAATGGGAATTGATGAATCTGTCGATGTACATTACCGGTAAGGGTCAATCAGTGTCTTGCCGCGTAACTGACTGCTTATGTCCTGATGAATTGCATACCTGCTACTGTTGGTAGTCCTGGAACCAACAAGGTGTGTGGTGCCTGGTGTCACGAATAGTTCTCTATACATGGGTTATACGAAGCTATAGTTCTTCAACGTCCACATGTCTGTGACTAGCGGGCTAGTCAATGTTTTCAGTTGAAGATCAAGGAGAAGGAGATGACATTCTTTATGGCACAATAATGTGTGGTCAAAGGGTGTTCTCAAAAGCCAACGTTCGTCTGTCTCTCGTCAGTCCTCATCGCGAAGTCACCTCAATGATTAACAGGTTATTCGCAATGCCCTTGATGCTGCAAAGATCCTTGCGGAAATCCCTGGAGAATAGGCGGTCCCCCAAAACTTACCGACCAATAGAGACCCGAAGAGAAGGCTAGACGAGGATATGTGCGCGAGTGAAATTGAAAGTCAAGGAATGAGGAGGAGGAGGAACTACTGACTACACAAATTGTATGATAGGGCCGGAGAGAATCTCCCTCTCCTTAGGCTGTCAAATTCGACTCAAATAATTTTCACCCCAACTAGGGCAGTATATGAGGGTAGGAACTGATGCAATGAGACTCCCCGGAAATGCAGTCAATGGTCAATGAGGCAGGCACATCGTGGTTGATGGCAGGGTGTGGTAGTATCAATACCCAAGGATAATCACATCCGCGGGCCGAGTTCGCATACCCGCATGTCTTTGTGCTCGTTGAACTCAGTTATCTGATAGTCCACTGCACATTTACAAAAAATCTTCTGAACAGTGTATGGTGTGCACAGTATTTTGTGGAGGGTACGGAGAAGAAGTATCACATATCACATTACATGCAACAATACTAGTAGAAGGACCATGTATGTGATGGCAAGGAACTAGGGAACGTTGTATGCAAAGGAATACCAACTCGGTGGCCTGGTGACGGCCCAAGTGCGGTGATAGGGGACGGGCGGGAGCTATTGAACTCGTCATGAATGTCTTGAAAAACTGCTTGTTTAGACATTGTTGACTACATGGGGCGGGGAAAGGAACGGTAAAGACAAAGCAAGATAGGGCAAGGAAAAACTGAATTTGAGACAACCGGGTTTCCTGTTGCTTGACGATGTTCCAGAAGGACAACAAAGGCACCGATAGGGGAACAAGGGGTCTAATACTCCTTCGCGGTACCCTTTCCGATCTCATCTGTCCATGTCCCCTCGCTTCCGTGTCAGTGTGTGTACCGTTCCCGTCCCGCTGATGATCACCAAATCCTCTTCCGGGATGGGGAACAATGAGCGGCTTTCTGAGTAGATGGCGCGTTTATGAAGTCTTATCGGACCCAAGTATCTCTAAAGGTGGGTGGGGGATGATTGGCCAATCACCGGCATCCAATCGCTCTAGCTGTGACCGAGCACAGCAAGTCAACACTCAAATAATGACCTTGAGTCGAGTCTATCGGACAGCGTCTCAATGCCTAGGAATTAAGCTTCAAAAGATGAAGCATTTCATTGGTTAGATGACCACACGGTTTCTTCTGCCAATAATGAGGAGCTCTTATACAAACGGCAGAGATGGGATTAGATTATTGCACTGCACGTTATCAGGATCTCCGTGCATTAGACTCGTAGTTGGTAGAACATGAGGATAAAAACTTATTGGCGGTGGGTATTGGCAAGAGCCGCAGTTATCATTTAATTCAATCAAAGATGAGCGGATGAACACCTCTCGAGTCGTATGTATGTATTCCCTTACCTGTGTGTCAAACCTAGGTACAGAGAAGAAAAGAAAGATGGGAGGACCCGTCGGTGTTGACATTGAGAAGATCCTGGAATATATTATCATTGCAGGCGTAGAACTAAGGCAAATGAAGGCTCCAAACCTTTACCCGTCACCTCATACTGAAGTCTTCCGTCCTCAGGCCCTCAACCAAGCACGGTAAATAGGGTGATGTCAGAAGTCCCGACTTGCCGGGTCCCCATGCTGTCATTCCATGTTCGTTCGACCATCGGTTCGGCTCAGTTCGTCCGAGCGACGAACCACCTTGCCCATGGCCGTTTTACTTACTCCATATGTCTAGCAATGATTAGGTTTATCACTGGACTCGTGAGATTCTAAATATATGCAGAGGTAGGTACATACTTTGCTATATCCGGCCAATGGGGTTTAGTCTTGGCATTCGATATTTCGATTTACCCTCTGACGACATTGTGCTGCCCTGCCGCTTTGTTTGGTCGTTGATCGGTAGAGCAATCCCTAGAGGTATATGAATAGTAGTCAGCAGTTTTGGATCGCTATTCTTTGCCCTTCATTCCGTTTTTCAGTGGCCCTTGATATAGGACTAAGTACTTATCTCAATTCCACTTGGGGCTGTCCAGTTGGAAGAGGTGGGGTTCACCTACCGGCATCTACTTCATTAACCTATGCGTGTACTGCGAATAGGATCCATGTTACTTTCTTGTGTAACGTGAGTGGACGGTAGATGTCTACCTTCTTTGTCGGGCAGTAGCAATTGCGCTTCCGTAGCTAGTCGATATGTGCTCCTGTATCTCTTGTGAAGCCGTGCCGTTCCTGACCTGAAGAGATGGATACCCTTCACGGTAACAATTCTGGTCCCTTCATACCAGAACAATCCTCATTTCTCGTTTCCGGGCATTTGTTCTAGCCTGGAGATCCGGTGCTGGTCCCATAGAAAGTAAGTTTATAATATCTGGGTGATCAACTCCTATTAGGCTTGCGTGTTCAAGACACAGGGTGGTTGGCGCCTGCAGGCTTTCGAGAAGCTTTATGAGCGAGCCTTGAACTTTCAACTTGATACTTCCTTTACATCTCCTGGGCTGCCAATCTGAGCGCGTATGCTAATTGCTGTTATGTTAAGGTACCCGTTGGGGAGGGCGGGGGGAGGTTTTGTGTTTGTTTCCCAACTTTGCTTTAATGCCGACAACTACTGTCGGCCAGCTTGGGTTGATGAAAGCCAAGAAAGTGCTGCCGACGTCGTCATCACCTCATCTTGTCTTTACCTCCGCCCTTTAACCGATAGCGAGCGTAAGTACTGCGTAAAAACCGAGGGATCACCAAACCCGCTCACCCGAAGAACATGTTGATGGATAGTGGTGACGATTACAGCATAGAGCAAAATCTATGCAAATCTATGTATCCTGGAAGGCTGTGTATATAGCCGATCGGTTTCAACTGGTTTCTCGGACCCAGCTCGTGGATCGCTCCACACATTCCGCAATTTAACGCCCCGTGGTACACTACAGGCACTGCATGGAAGAATGAAATGGAGGGGGCAGTGGAGTTTCTGGGGATCAAAGTCCGGGGTAACCGCCTTAACAGGTTAAGAAATTTGCTCCCGTGACGACGAATCCCCCAGGCTCAACACCATGGTTTTCTCTTTCGCAACCCAAGCCCATACGCTGGTTTGACGGGCATGGGCTCACGGGCTGTCCGATTCTGCCGGGGTGAGGGTGCCAAACCACTGCAAACCACTTGTCGTGAGTTGCGAGCGCTGCTTGTTGCTTGCTGACTGCCGGTACAACCAGGTAATTAACAGGTCACGAGCATCTCCAGATCTCCTATCGTATACTTGGGGCGGGTTTCAATTGTCAAAAGCGGGGTAGATTGGGCATGTACTTCCAAATGTGCATCTTGAATGGCGAGAAAAGGGCTTGATGCATGTCAGCCCCTTTCAGATGTCGGGGCCGGCTGTTGATGATGCTCTAGAAGAAGCCTGGTTCGAGAACAATAAGCCCTTTTTTTGTGTCACACTTGTTTACTTGTGTGATAGGGTAGCGTGGCAACATGGACATAATTATCAGTCAAACGTGCAGTTTTTTGCTCTTCTTCTGTTCGGCAACGGCACTGGATGTTTGATGAGTTCGCCGGGCGGAGCCATGATGGCCATGATCCATATCCAAGCGCTACCATCTGGCCGAGGGAAATCCTGTCTGGACAGCGGGAGAAGTCGGAGCAACGCAGGTAGATTTTGGTTGAGCATGTTTGAATATGAACATGCCGTTCCGTCGGCAGGTGTCTTCATATCACGTGCCAACCTTAAGGGACAGACCACAGGCAGTGTATGAAAATGCTAAATTGCCGAGTTGCTTGCATGTCGTCTTGGGGGTCTCGGTCGTTCTCGGTTTTCTGGAAGGGAGGGATGTGCAGACGGACGAAGAAGTGTCGAAGTGGAAAGGCCGAACTTGTCCAAGCGAGGCCGGGCTGTTGTTCCCTGGCTCCCTCGCCGTGGGCCTCTGGAAGATCATGGATGGCAAGTACATACCTAGTGTACCTGTCCAGTGTCCAGTAGACTAGCTCCTCCCTTCTAGACTCCCAGGTACCGGTACATCACAGGTGGAGAATCTGC